ATTCCCGACAAGAGGTCCCTATTCCACATCACATATAGAATATTGATTCCTGTTACCCTAATGTATGGGGCTAACCATTGTGTCAGTGGGGCTGAATTCTACTGAATCAGCATCTTGCTGAAGCCTTAGAAGACTGACAAAACAAAATTGGTTCTTCCATTATAGACAGTCTAAATTTAAAGAGTTAATAATAATACACTAATTAAAAAAATAAACGTATAGGTAGCAGTTTTGTTTCTGTATAAACCCAATCTCATAACACTAATTTTTTTCATCAAGCATTTTAAAAACAACCTTGATGTCTGGTTGTGCATGGTATATGGCCACTTGTAGGCTATTTATAAAATTGGTACCTTTTGGTTTTATTTTTAAATCCACTCTACCTCAAATTTAACATTTTTTTTCAAAATACAAACACACAACTATTAATGTTAATTGTTTATACGATATTAAAAATAAATACCTATGTGTTATAAAATTATGACACACATCCTATGATCAACATACTGAATTAAAATAATTTGTTGTTTTATTTCCTTCAATTAAAAGATCAAAATAAATGTTAAAACCATTCAAAGAGTATCATAATTCTTCAAAGAGACATTGTACACCTCTATAGGCTATCCTATGATGTTAAGATATGTTCTGAACTACAATAATCAGATTTTATTATTTCAATCATAATCATAAATCAAAGTTTTAGTACTCTCTGAAGAGAGTAAGACAAATTTTCCAGAAAGACATTGTCTTATGAGTACATGTAGATGGACGTGGAGTCTGAAAGAAAATCTATTTTTACACCATCTGTCTGTGAGCCAAATCATCAGCTGATCATGGCCTCAATAGGCTAAATTTTATTGAAATAAGGTTTAGTAAAATGTACATAGTATATAATAGGCAATGCTTATGAGCTAAGCTTTACGTTGATATCCATCTAATTACAATAATATCACAAAAAAATATTTGCAAATAGGTGCATAGGAAGTTAAACTTTATAACTAAAAAAAAAATATATGCCAAACAGCATATCATTGTAAAGTTATGACAGTTCCAAAGCAATGTTCAAAGTTAAACGGGATTGCCGGTTGTCGCAGGTTGGATCCTGAAAAAAGTCAGTAGCTTTTTGTTAGTTCAAAACTGGACCCAGCTGTTAAATTATCCTGGCTAATGAAACAGCTGATCTTAGTCAACAAAGCTACACAGGTCATCTCACTCCATTATACACTCATCCTTCACTCATATATTTGGGTTAAAACACTCACCTAGGTGGCGTCCCTATGTAAATGATTGATAATTGATAATTTTAGTTTTTGAGTTAAGTATAAACATGTGTTCACCTTGTCATGTTAATTATTCAACCTATTGTGTCACAATGTCCAGAGGATTATACAGTGTGAAAATTAAGTATTGAAACAAATGTGTATTTTTAAAACCGAAATAGAAAGAAATGTTCTGTTTGTGGCAATAATTGTTAACAAAGGTTCCGCAATTTTTTATAGAAAAATATTTTTACCCCCCCCCCCCTAACAGGGTAGGGGGTAGCGGGTGACTTATTTTTTTCAAATAGGAACCCCTATTGAGTGACCACTCATTTTGAAGGATTTGTCAAAAGAAACACAATGACGCAAATCCGAGGTGGATATCTCACCCCTAGCCAAAATGGCAGGTATTCAAAAATTTATTTACTGTATGTGAAAAAGCACAAATTTCACAAATAATGGAAACAAATCTGTATTTTTAAAACCAAAATAGATAGAAATATTCTGTTTGAGGAATTGATTGTCAACATAGGTTCCGCAATTTTTAATATCAACAATATTTTTTCAACCCCTTAAACAGGGTAAGGGGTGGGGGTGACTTATTTTTTTAATAACAACCCCTTTTGAGTGACCCCTCATTTTGAAGGGTTTGTTAAAAGAAAAACAATGACACAAAACCGAGGAAAATATTTCACCCCTAGCCTAAATGACGGGTATTCCAAAATTTAATTTATGTGAAAAATCACCCATTTTGAAATATCCGCTATTTTGGCTAGGGGTGAGATATTCACTTCGGATTTGCATCATTGTCTTTCTTTAGACAAACCCTTCAAAATGAGGTCACTCAATAGGGGTTGCTTGGAAAAAATAAGTCACCCCTTACCCCCTATCCTGTTAGGGGGGGTAAAAAATATTTTTGATGTTAAAAATTGTGGAACCTTTGTTAACAATTATTGCCACAAACAGAATATTTCTATCTATTTCGGTTTTAAAAATACAGATTTGTTTCAATACTTAATTTACACACTGTATTAATTAATTAGGAGGAAAACACATTTTTTGTTGATGAAACGAACATAAAAACACGAGGATAAGATTTAAATTAAAAAAGTTGCTTGTAATTGCCCTACCTTTAAAATGTTATGCAATTTGACAAATAAATCCATTAAAAGTTTTGAGTTTAAAAGTATTGAAGTAAATAAAGCTTAGCTTGTGAGGGATGCAAAATTGTAATTAGAGTAAAGAAGATACACAATTTTTCACATAAGGAGTCACCGTTTTAAACTAATAAAATAGTAAAATTAAACTTTCTCCAAAATGTTTAATAACAAGATGAGCTTTAAAAATATGTATAATATGTAACATGTTTGTAATTAACACTTCAAACTTTGTTGAGCTATGCCTTGGGTTGTTTTAGTGAGAAAAACGTTTAGACCAATGAAAACAACTACCTAAACCTACATCTAACTACCTAAGTTAAAGTAAAGAAATTTACTGGCAAAATATTATCTTTCACAAAAAAACCACCTCAACTAGAGAAAATCAGTCAAAAATTAGTCTTAGAAAGACACAAACAGTGTGGGGTATGTGGCCTAAGTACGTAGTATGTCTGTTTCACTAACATGAAAATGAAACAGAGGAATAAGATTTTATAAAGTGCAATTGCAGTATTCAAAGCCAATGCCGTAACCACGAATAAACTTCATTCTCCGACTTTTCTCACTGAACCACTAAAAGCTTTACAGACACCAAACTATGCTTTGTAGTACAGTAGTATTTGTCTTCAGATTTAGAGTTTCATTCCTTTCAATCAGACGGGATTCCACTGAGGGCAAAGACAAGAGCATGCTAGCGATACAAGGATTCTCCGGCTTGTGCTATTTATACAACCATTGCTCTGCCCTGCCATTGTTTACTGTTATAAAGTTGGCCCGCCAATATTTCTCATTTGTTGAGCAATTTTACGTTGATTGATCGAAAGACCTGCTATAAACCGAAATATCCTCTTTTGGTCAAATTTAAGTGAACTACAAGAGCTCAAATAAATATAAAAATTGTAATGTCTACAAAGAAGAAAAATGTTTCATTTTTTATTAGCAATGGTCAAAAACCTATGTTCCGATAGGTCCATTATAGAGATAGCCAACAGGTAAAAAATAAATAAATGAATGACAGATGAATGTACTCTAGAATATGTTTTTTTTTTCAATCAAATCTGATATTGGATTGGTTTTAAACACTTTTCTTCTATATTAATAAAATAGTTTTTAGGATTCTTGTGTGCAGCAAATTGGCCCCTAAATATTTATTTTTATAGACTTATTGGGTATCAATTTAAACCTCTTATCCTCTAGATGTGCCTTTTGCGGGTTTGGATGATATCCCCTTCATACTATAGACTTTTAAAATTTAGTTGTTTTTGCTGAATTCTGTTGTCAATCAATTGAACTTTTTAAAGTTTACATTTGTTTACATCGAAACAGATGGCCATGATACAATTTTGTTTACATCCATACGGAAATGGGGTTATCTGTAGTTGGTGATATTTCAGTGAATTCATTATTTGTATAAAATATAAAGAAGAAAATGACCTACGATAGATATTGTTTTGTTTTCATAGTATGTTTGTTTATGTTTTAGGGAATTCTAGTAAAATACTGTGATGTTATTTGTGGAAAATGTAAAGAAGAAAACGACTTGCGTTAAATTTTCTGTTTTCATTGTATGTTTCATTAGTATTATTTGTAATTTTTCTAAGATTTCTCGAAGAGATCGCACACACAATTAAAATAATAGGGCTTGCAATGCAAATAATAGGGGTATGATATGAGACATAATCCTTTTCACCCTTATCAACTATATATCAAATATATCATGGATTTTGACGTCACAAAGTAGGCTGCGTACTATATTAAAATTTTTTTTGTATGTTAATATGATGGAGTGGATTATCTGCGTAACATGTTTACTAAGATCATCTGTTTCCTTCAGCAGGATAATGTTAAGACCTAGCGATCAAAGACAGCTGGAGTTTGGAGCCATAAAAAATAACAATTTTTCTAAAGATAGAACTGGCAACCTCTTGTTTACTAGACAAGTGTTGTGACCACACAGCTACATAGATATGAACCTTGCTGGCATTTTCTGCTTACAATGTTTCTAGGATTGTGTGATGGACCCAGAGTTGGAATATTGTGAATTCTGTTCACTCAAAAACTCATTAATACTGCATAAGGTCATATTTCACTAAGTTAAGTCTCTACTGACAGTATAGATGGGTAACGTGGTTATTGTGTTCGCCTTTCAATCAAAAGCTCTCTGGTTCAATCCTGATAAAGGTTCATAGCTTTTTGATCGTTTGAAGCTGGGCCTGGCTGTCTTTGATTATTTCATTATTGGTCCTGGCTATTGAAACAGATTATCTTTAACAATCACCCCCTACAAACGTTTGATTTGCACTCACAGTTAGAATTGTATAACAGCTGTTTTGAGTAACTGAACTGATGCTCACACACACTACTATCGAACTGCAATCTGAAACTCACATTGAAAAAAATGTTGAGTAGGCCTACTCATGATCCAATTGGCTTGTTCACATGGAATTGACAAGCTTAATGGAAGATGTGAGGCTTTACACAGATTATCTTCTCTCTACACACACCCTTCATATTTAGCGGGAATGTGTATCAAAGTTGTGTCTTTACCCTTAAAGTAATGAATGATGTAGTCATATGTCAACAGAGGGTGAGACAGAATGCAGCACATCAAGGGGAAGGGTGATCCGCTGTGTCCTCTGGGCTTTCACCCCCAGGTGCGGTGGCCCACGCGGTGTAAGAGATGCTTCAGGTAAGATCAACCCCTACTGGATTGAATATATTTTGTTGTTGCACTATACAAAATCAGTTAATTACTGGACTCTTTGAGGTTTTATACAGAAAGAGATACGTAATATCTGTTGGGTTCTAGAAATTTACCGATCCTCTTTCAGGGCACCTCAGTAGGCAAAGATACATAATAAATGTTAGATTTTGGAAAGGTGCTGTACTATCACAATATAAAGGTTTTAAAAGTGTAACTCGCATGAAATCCTGTCATGGAATATTGAAACCCTGTTTTAACTTAAGATCTACTTTTCAACCTCAAGGTGTAAAATAGTGTGATATAACTCAAAATAAAATCTTGGTTTTGAGTCTGCTGGAAAGACAGACAATCAGGCATTGTTTATTACAAGTCACTTGTGAGTCATAAAAGATTACAACAAATTATTGATTGCTGATCATCAAAACTCCCTTACTGCAACCCAGATAACCATGCTGAGATTTTCTCCGCTCACTCTGTTTAATTTTAGTTGATTTAACACATTACCGACTGACACATGACCTGAGATACATAGGAATGACTCTTCCAACAGGGAACTTTAAATTATGAAGCATAAAGTTTTGAAATTATTTCTCACAAAGATCTAAAAGCCAATTTAAACATGAAGCTTGGTATCACAGTTTAAATTGACCAAGAAGAGAGTAAAATACTTTTTCTTAGAACTTTAAGACTTTAGAGAATAATATTTCTGTGTTTTTAGGTGTTACTATAAGTAAACAATGTTTCAATTTTCAGGGACTACAAAGAGCACGGAAATAAAAAAGATGGCAGCATATCACTGCGTCGGGATGAGACAACTGTTTCTTCACCTAGCTTGTCTTCATGGGCAACCAAGTGAGTAGAGAATAAAAAGAAATAACCTTCAATTAACAGAAATAACAACTCTAAATTAACAATCTTATTTCAAGTGAGTTTGTATTTCGTCAAATGGCTCTAGAACTATGTAATTTCTAATACAAGTCAAAATTCTATTGATTCATTCACTATTTTTGTTTTGTTTTTTCCCTTAATTCCCAAAAGAAACTAAAAATTTTAAAGGTAGAATTATATTACACAAACCCAGGCAAAGATAGAAAATCATAAAAAAGTATACAGGTAAATTTAGTGTAGTAAAAATACAAAACAAATGTTCTCCATGTGTTTTCCATGTATCGAAAATTATGTTTTTAGTTTAGTAATTTTGGATCTACATAGTAACTTAATTTTCAAAAATTCTTCTTTATTGAATACTGTAAATTCCTGGTACTATACAGTATTTGACATTATTGTAGCATGTCTTACCTTTTTTCTGGTACATCCCTAGTAGCACAAATATGTATCTTATAAATATTTTATATATTTAAAGTTGTATTTGATAGAACCTCGAATAAAATATATATATAATATATCTTTAATAATAGTTTGATATATTCAAATATCTATTTAAAATATTACCAAAAAGCAATGCAAAATATAAATTAAATATAATTTTTGAATATATAAAATAGATTCATAATATATATTGATAAAACAAGTATAAAATCTATAATATACGTATTTTATATGTATATTTTTCCTATTAAATATTTAAAAAAAATTATGTGTTGAGAATATTTTAAATATATATATAAAATATTTTTAAACTATATTATATATTTAAATTATTTATAAATATATTTTGAAACACGTCTGATATTTTTTATTAATAAAATAATATTATATTTGTAGAATATATAGCCTATAATCTTTTATAATTAGCAAATAAATAATTTGCATCTTTTTGTTTTTTATAGTGTCTATCAATTTATACATGCATTTTTTGTATGATAATTGCTATTGTGAAAGCGTTAAAATTAAGTTAATAATAATACATACTCTGTATGGTGTCACTCTATCATACACGTAAAGAAAAAAATAGCATATAGTTAAGAGGCAGTATACATGTTCGACAGCTACATTTGGGTCAAACGAAAAAAAGTGTTGATGGGTTTTATTTTTTTAATTGCAATATGTGACAATGAATGTGATCATAGAAATCTCGAATGATTGGCTAGAAAAGGGTGCTAGTGACTGGCGACCTTTTAAGAAACTAATTACGGTTGTATATGACGTTCTAAAAATAATTATTTTATTTACATATACCATCAATTACATAATATTTGTCATAGTATTTAAATGAACTTTTGTAGTTTACTGTATTTGTATTCGTGGAGACTACTCACCCATGTAGCACAGATGGTTGGGCCAACGTTGGTAAATTGTGGAGCCACACAGTTGGCCAACGTAGAAATGTCACCTCTTTAAACTGTTTTCCAGCCAACCATTGTCCAACCGTTTTATTTCACACAAAATAATAAAGATTTAGTACGAAAAGCATAATTATTAGTTGAGTACATTGATTAAATAGTTCATAAAAACAAATCTTGAAAAAAGCTAGAACAAAATTTTTTGGCCCAGACGGGTCTTGAACCCGGGTCCTTCGACTTATGAGCCACTTACTTTACCACTGAGCTATCTGTGATTGTTGATTTAGAGAGTTTTCAAGTGGTGAAAGAGTAGCCGACAGTTGCAATGGTCGCAATACTTCAAACATTTTTGATACTACACAGTATAATATGATTCTGTTAATCTGTTAAGGCATTATAAGTAGTTATTTATTTATTTTTTTTTTTTTTGAGTTAGAGAGGATACTGGTATTTGAATATAGATTAATTAATTACCGTTAGATTATTAATGCTATTATAATTGCCTGTTATATGATTAATTACTCTTTCCCCTTAAATTGTTGCAAATAAGTTAAAGAATATTAATTTAAAAAATATTTGCATTATTACAATTATTAGAATTCATTTAATTGTTGTAGCCCCGGAACTGTAATATATAAAATATCTGGTTTTACAATACCTTTATCAGTTCCAAAAACTTTTGGAACTGATAAAGGTATTGGAAAACCAGATATTTTATTATAATTATGTTGTGAAAGCTAGACCCAGAGAATGAAAGTCGTGTAAACTCAACTATGGACCATCGTTGGTCCAACAAAAGTATCTTTTGTTGGTCCAACGGAGTGAAAAACGGTTGGACAACGGTTGGCTTGATGTATGATACCCAGCAATGCATATTAATGTATTTCATTAACAATGAACCAATGTTGGTCCACAGTTGTAAATATTGGTTGGCCCAACTACGAGATATACAGTTGGACAACGGTTGGTTGGTTGTGGAAGCTCCAACCAACCATCGACCAACTGTCCCACAGTTGGCCAACGTTGGCCCAACCATCTGTGCTACATGGGCACACTATTCACTACAGCACTATTCAACTCAACTACTTGATGCCATACCATAATAGTGTAGTATCAAAACTATTTCAAGTATTGCACCATTGCAACTGAGGGCCACTCTTTCACCATTTGAAAACTAATGCTAACAACAGTCACAAGTAGCTCAGAGGTAAGGTAGGAAGCTCATAAGTCGAAGGACCCAGGTTCGAGGCCCACCCGGGCTGAAAAAATTTTATCCAGTAATTTTTTTCAAAATTTGTTTTTATGAACTATTTAATCAATTTACTCAAATGATAATTGTGTTTTTCATACTAAATCTTTATTATTTTATGTTTTTATGTTTAGGCCCCATGGGATGTTTGGATGAGATATTAAATACATTTTTTATTTAAATATTATTCACTAAAATATATTATGGGAACATATATTTTTAATATTTAATAGATTCAAAAACATATTTTTTATATATTTAATATATTTTAAATATTATATAAAATTGACATTAATACACACTTGAGATATATAAAATAGATTTTAAATACGTTTATTCATATGTATTTAATATATATTTGTGCTACTAGGGATGTGGAATTCTGTATATTCATGGTATTGTTTTATGGTAGGCAACATTGTATTACATGTTCTATCATAATGGTACTTTTGTTATGTTGTTATCCACGTACAATTCTATGCAAATGATTTTCATATTTCCGGAAAGTAAATAAAAAAAAACGTCTTATAACACTTAAAACATATATTTACGCTTATACTGATACTCACAAGACGGTAAATATACAAAACAGATGGTACGTGGTGATCGATTTCGATTGGACACTCCAATCATCATCAGAACCAATAGGCGAATATTGGGTCATCATCATTCGCCTATTGGGTCTGATGATGATTGGAGTGTCCAATCGAAATCGATCACCACGTACCATCTGTTTTGTATATTTACCGTCTTGTGAGTATCAGTATAAGCGTAAATATATGTTTTAAGTGTTATAAGACGTTTTTTTTTATTTACTTTCCGTAAATTTAATAACACGTACAATGCTGATCAAGAAGTTATTTCATATTTCCTTACGCTTCTTTATTTTGCAAGCGTCGAATTGTTTATGAGGTTACTTCACACAAATTTGACAAGCCCAGTAAACTTGTACAGTGTGTTCAGTAAAGTTTCATCATGATGTCTGATGTCAGGGGCCGAGATGACAGTAGATCATCAGACAGTTTCAGCTCCAGATCCTGGACGAGCTCCTCCAACCTCAATCTCAGCTCCTCCGACCTCTCTAGCAAGAAGACAGAGGAAGCTCCTTCCAGCAGGACGGGGTAAGTTCAGTTACAGAACTACTGACTGAGCTATACCATGTGGAGCTCCTTAGCTTATGTCAAAAGGATCATGTTACGTGGGTTGTCCGTAAAGGTTTTTCAAACTCAGTTTGATATATTGTTGTTCTTGTCATTAATATCAATAGTGTGGCATTAAATGTTAAGCATGTAAGTGAAAGTGATGTATGAAGTACAAGAAACCCACTCAAGTATAAAGTGCAATAGCTGCTTCAATGTAAATGCTAAACACAGTATTGAAGCATGTAAATGAAATTAAAAAAAAAAATAATTCAAAAGACTCTTCTTTAGTTATCTAGGTTAAAATTTTTCTTGACTAAAAGTGTTCCAGTTTTATCTATTCATAGTGATGTTTGTAAATAAAAATTTCATAAATATTTGTAGTAATAGAAGTTCAAAATCCTCTCATAGTAAGTTTACGTTATTTGCAGGGATTATTGTCAAAATTTTCCATCAAGGTGAAACCTTAGTTTTCTTGTGAAGGAAATTTTTTGTATAAATTGCTCAAGTAACAACCTCATAGTACATTTTTATAATTTTATGGTCGTCCTGTAATCCAACTACTAGGAGGTCACGAATTGTGGATATTTATAGGCATGCACTGTGGACGCCATACTCCCTAGTGTGGATTGACGTCCGCACGGGTGAGTACTTTGACTATCTGCAGTACTATCCTGATAATTAGATCAATTCGTAAATATTAAAGGCAAAAATGTGGTTCGGATTCCACTATAAACTGTAGGTCCCTTAGTTGCCATTAGCTGTTTGGGCTATTAATTAACAGCTGTGTCTAAGGAATATGTCGGCCTTAGTCACTAACAAGGCTACAAGGTCGCGTCACTCATCCTACACTCATCTCCATTCATACTTGGCTTAAAATACCTACTCTGTATGGTCGCCATTTCACTTAAAAGTATTAAAAGTATTAAAAGTAAAGTAAAGTATGAAAATAATGTAGAAGTTTACCGTAAAGCTAAGAATTGTTTCTATAATATAATTTATCTGTTGTTTGTAGTTTCAGCCAAGCAGCATCGTCTTGGACTTCATCACCGAACCTGGCTAACATGAAGGAGGATAGTTCGACTCCGACAGTCAGCTTTACCCTGCGCAGACGACCCTCCGTGGAAACCAGCCAGGAGGACCAAGGTAAGTTGTTAAGGTGAAATAAATTGTATCGCTGTCCAAACTTTTTTATTTGGGATGCCCCTTGTTAGGATAATAGCTGACCAACTAGCCATGTTGAATCAATTTAATCGGGTCTCCAGTAATCCAATTCTACACAGCTGGATCCAGCTATGACTTGTACATCTGGTTGAAGAAAACTTACTCATCTTTCACCCAAAAAATTATATACTGTATGTAACTAAATTTATGAGATTTGTTTGGATCTTACAATTGTATTAAAATTGTTAAGTTGGGGGAGTGCAAATCTAACTCTGAAAACTTTAACCTCAACTCAAAACTTCTTTGGTTGAAAATGCTGTCAGTGACAGTGAAGAATGATGATCTAGGTTTTTGTGTTTTGTGTGCCGGAATGGGTTCTTTCCCATTCAGGTAAATTTACTATTTTCACAAAAATATTAAAATGTGGATCAAGTATATTGACAGGCAATACTTTTTATATACAAATATTAAAATCAAATGTTTAATTACAGCGTGGGGTGAAAATAGAGAAGTCTTACGTATTTTTGGTCAAGTTTTCGACCACTGGACGACCTCTAGTTTCACTAAATACATTGATAAGAGGCTACTTTATTTTGTATTTTACTTGTCAAATCTATTTATAAATATGTTTTAAATGATTTTTTTTTGTATACATTAGTATTTTGTAAAACTACTTAAATTGAATACATACCCATTCCCCATTCATATTCAAAGTATAGCAAGAAATAGGTTTTATCTGTAAAAACTAAAGAATGTCACAAGTGAATCTGTCACTGGGTGGGAGGGGGGGGGGGTGTGTAAAAGCAAACCCAATGACTATAAGGTTTATTTCCCCTTTATGATAATCATATATAAAATGACATTGACCCTCAAATCTTGACCATTAGTATGTATTTACAAGTTTTACATTGTTCCAGCAGAATTTGAAGATTTTTTGAGTGAGTATTCAGAATGTGGGTTTGATTAACTTTTGTCTACATTCTTCATAGTTTACTGCTATAAATATCACTGTACATATTATCATGAAGAATTGAATAATGTTAACAGACAATATTTTAACGAAGCTCTGGGCTGATTTACCGAAAAGGCAATTGGTTTTTTGGGGGGGGAGTGCCAAAAAAATTGGTGGTTATATTTGCATGCGATCGTGGTAAAATTCTTGCTTGCAGCTGTAGAGACATCAATATATTTTCTCCCGCGGTCGTGTGGACATATTAATATTCTCCCGCGATTGCAGCAAAATGGTAATAGTCTCCAGCAGTCGTGTAGAGATCATCATCGTCTTCTGCGATTGCGGCAATATCATTATCATATCCCTCGGTCATGGCAAACTTCTGATCATTCCTTGTGGCTGTGTCGTCTCCTGCGGTCACGGATATGTCACTGTTGTCATGCGTGATCGCGGTAAATTGAAAATTCCAGGTAGAAATACAAACTTTACGCATAACAATTCCTATTTCAAATAACTCACCCATAGTTCCCGGATTTCCTGGTTTTCCCTGCCGTTGGACAACCTGTTTTATATATATATATATTATATAGAAGATTACAAAGTGGCGCTTCTATTAGTTTTGCCGAGGGCGCTGACAGGCTCAGATGGACGGGTCTTCAAGCTTCATTATGTTCCCTGCACATACAAATTAACATTTTATATGAGAGGCTTAACATTCGACTATTTTAATTCAACATGAGTAATCAGGGATGAAATATGCTTGTCTGATATTTATAGCCAGTAAACTATAATAAAACAGAAATTTCAAGTTTTGTAATAAACATGTCTGATCTTTTTAACATTTCAGGGAACAGGAGGACCATTTCTATGTTGGATTTATAGTGGTCTAAATGTTTTTTTGTAATAATAAGTTTTGATTTGTACGTTTCTTCATATGTATATGCTACCATGTTTCATAACATTCAGTTTTTAACTTACTATTTAAATTATTAAAACTCGATCATCATATTAAATCACTCTTCTATGGACAAAAGTTTGAAAGCACATACTCATAGTGGCATAATGATTTACTAAAACCTTTAAAACACTGTAAATCATATGGTGATCTTCTTACTAACCTTGGTACAACTCTTACAAATTTGTCATAACATGTGTTTTGTAACAATAACATTTTTATTTTTGTATTTTGTGTTTATCTATTTCATTGGCATTTTTTACGTTTTTTTGTTAGAAACGGTTCAAATCTATGTCTTTTTACTATCTGTAGACCTTTTAGATAGCATCATTAAAAATCATTAGCCCAATTACAAATGGCATCTGGACCTAGTATTGATTTTGCTTGGAACCGAACCAGGGACCTTGACATTATCAAATTCCATAAACGTTTTCTGACCACAAAGCTTGGACGTTGGGTTAATAAATTAAAGTACCTAGTTAAATTCAAATTCATGAATTTGCTCTTAGAATGAAAACGGAATCGCAAAGTCAACTAAATTCCTAAATTCACTATCTTGCAATTTTTTTACTTCTGAAATGTGGCAATTTAATTAATTCAACAGGTGTTCAAACTCTAAATTGTAGACTGAAAAAGACAATACAGCTTAAAACACAAACCTACATTTTAGAAAGGTATACTAAAAGTTCTGACATTGTAAAACTAGTTTAGTACTTCATCATAGACTACTAGGTACCTGAAGAAGAGAGAGCTGCTTGTATAGTAGAAGTATAAAATGTTCTGAAAAAAGTGAAAACATTTAAGAATTGGACAAACGACCAGTGTTAAGTTCAGTGTCATTTTATCTGCGCAAAATTAATAAGCCTCTGAACTCTTTATTTTCTTGAAGTAAGCGAAACTCTATCACATTAAATATTTAAGTAGTCTCAATGACTTTTGTTCAAAATGCAACCTGAACGTATGATTCACAAACAGTTGAAACAACCATTACCTTGAATGTTTAGTTTTATGATGGATTAGCCTCTGGATCGAAAATTGCAATATAAAATGGTTTAAGCAGCTACCTTTTGCGTCAAACGATCCTTGAAGGATCGTTTGGCTCAAAAGGTAACTCAAACCATTTTATAGTTTAGTTTTATTTGATTACTATGAGTTTTCAATCTCTAATTTTGACACGTTACTAAATCTCTCCAACTATGTTTAGAGGACTACCGGAGAACGCAGTACACTGTCAGACGACGCACCAGTGGATCCAACTTGACAGCCACAAGTCCGACAACTGAAACTCCGTCTCGTAGCTTCACTCGGAGCTCCGTATCTCGAGAGTCACCCTCCCCTGCTGAAAGAGTACGGACTTCCCCTTCCCCTTCCGAGAGAGTCCGTACTTCCCCTTCCCCCATCTCCGACAGGTTCCGTACATCACCTTCTCCTGCTCCAGAGAGAACTCGAGAGAGGACCTCTACAACAGAGAGACCAAAAGTCACGCCTTCGACACATTCAAATTCCTCCGATGTTGAATTTTTAATTAAGGTAATTGTTTAAAAGTATCTCGTAGACTGAAAATAGTTTTAAATTGTTTTACGGAAAAATTATTGAAACGTTTATATTATCTCACAAAAAAGATTGATATATTTTATAATTACTTACTTCTACCTTTAATTATGAATATATCCACTATAATATATACTGTAGTAGGCTGAGGAATATACTGCAAAGTAGACATTTATCCCCATTTTTAAAGTAGTAGTCAGATTTTGAATATGCACCATGCTTAGTAAGTTTACAATAATTTTGTTTAGTTGATTTTCTGACAGAAAAAACTACTTTACTGAAAAATATAGTTTTATGTTATATCATCGACTATTGGATACAGAAGACTATTTGGATCAATAGTCAAAGGTTATACTAAACTACTTTTTGATCATTCCAACCAAAAAATACTTAGATAGCTCATTGGAAGATAAATCACTTACTGAAAACGCTACGGTAACCCTGCACCTTGCAACAGCCGTAATAGTATAAATAAATAATAGTATAAAAGAGAATATACTGTATTTTGAATAGTATCATACTGTGAAAGAGGATCTTTCAACTACTGTTTCCATAGAATAGTGCAAAAACAGGCTCATTCGATGATATTTTTACTTTAATCTCCAAAATCAGTACTTACCACTCTTAATCAAAACTACTTTCCATCACAGTAATGAACTATTATTTTTTGTTGCTCATGTTATAATTTATGTTATGATTTTTTTTTTGCTTTGTGGATTGAGTTAGCTGCACCGTATTTTAATTTTGCACAGTTAAAATCGTCCAAGCCACCCATTCCTCCTAAGAAGTCCACTCCGGCTTCTACTAAGAGCAGCTCTAGCTCGTCATCGGAGAGTGACGAAGATGATGTTAGCACTACCGGCACCGAGACCACAGAAACTACTCTGGTTAACGACAATAGCGAACTGCAGGTAGACTAGTAGAGTAAAAATGTGACTTCTACATAAAAATTAAAAAAAAGAGTATATAAACACTTTATATTTAGGTGGAAAAACACAAATATTCTGTTATTTTTTACATTAAAATGCTCAAAGAGGTTAAGATGATAATGAGGTATATGATTAGTTAAAAATGTGATATTTACGTGAAAAATGTAAAATATGTAAAATAAAGTGCAGTTGGAGTGTCATTTTCACGCCTTTTTTCACAATATATTCTTGTGAAAAGTTGTGTCGTCTGCACCGTAAAAAGACAAGAAAAAAACGTAAATTTGATAATTGGGCACATGAAATTCACGTTACGTATATACAAGTGGACCGTGATTAATACAATTTTTTGTTTTTGTGCTATCTGGGAAGTTTTGAAATAATTACGGATTTAAACTTTTGTCTAACTCGTGCTATACAGTAATGACATTTGACAACAGCAATGTTTGAAATGTGTAAAATTGTAACAATATATAATACACTACAACCGTGTTTTTTTTATGCAGACAAGATCTGTGGGAAGGCGATGTCTACTTGGTCAGGAGGCATCACTATAGGTTGAAGGTTCAAATCCTGTATAAGGTCTGGTTTGGGAACTCGTGATCAGTCCACCTGTCTCTATTAGAGGTTAATGGGAGTCCTAGATAAAAAAATCAGTGTGGATGTTAAAATGGGCCAATTCAAGTTCTTTGTGAGCTGCACCTCAATTTTATTTCTTTTTAATCATCCTTACTATGTGCTTGCAATAGTGTGAACCTTTTTATTTGTGAAATTTGGAAAAGCACAATCCAAACCAAAGCCCATGTAGCTCAAAGGAAACAATATTAATTTGAAATTTTGTACTTACCAACCTTAAATGTTTCAGGAACAGATAGAAAGTTTGAAGCGGGAACTGGAAATGATGAAAGCCAGATGTGAGAGGGTTGAAAGAGAGAAGAGTGACATTTTGTTGAGAAGACTTGACACGATAGACTCGACTCGGACAAAGGCTACTGCCTCCGAGGTATGGCATTGGGCAGTGTTCTGATAATGGGTGATTAAGACGTCTACTACTGTAAGAAAAGTCAGTAGCTGTTGGATGGTTTGAAACTGGTTCTTGTTTTGGCTTTTAGTAAATGGTTCTGACTAAAAGCTGGTCTTAGTGAGTAACAAAGCTACAAAAGTCATACTCCATTAACACTTAACTCTTATTTAGATAAAAATACACAAAATCATCTCTCTATCTCAATGTCACGATTATGACAGAGACCAGCAAAGAACCATCAAAAGTCCCCCCTTTAGATCTTCTTATTTAGATGTGATGGATGTTAGATCATTCCATGGTATACACATAAAAGATGTAATATAATCAAAGGAGCATTAAAGCATAATCAGAGGATCAACATATAAGTAATCCAAAAATTAATTAATGATGAGGCAAATACAAATTTTACAGTTTGAGCCAAAATAAAAAAGGCTGTTAAAAAAGCAATATGTGATTCATATAGAGACGAGGCTTTCTACCAGAAGGTTTGGAATTAAGAGGCTCCAAAAAGACTGTAGAGGGTCAACCACTCCAGGTTACCTTGTCGTCCATGTCTTTATTTTGTTTTGACATACTCTAATCATTACTTGCGGCAATGCTGCAATAATATGTATTTGAGGTCTTTTAATCAGGTATACTCAGTGCTTTATATTTTAGAAATTAAAATACTGGGACTAAAATAGGAAAGCTTTACCCATCCCCATCCTCCACCATTCATATCACTTCATACCACCAACAAAATAATGTGCGGTTACACAACAAAAAGCTAAAAAATGAAATACAGCATCCTTGTTTTTTAAATCCTTAGTTAAAACTAGTTTAAACTTTCTCAGCAGATAGAGAGTGGAAAGGCACAGTCCCAAAGATTTCTACCACGATTAAAGCCCTGGGTATACCTAACAAGAGAATAGTTTAAGTCCGTAAAGTACATATTGAAAAATAAAAAAAGACAAAAAAATTATCGTTGAGAAATGCTATGCATAACAATGATAACATAACAAAAACTCTTTTGTTCCAGACAATAAAAATGCAACAAAAGGTAAATGAACTTCAATCAACTGTGGAAGATCTAAGGGATGACAAGAAGAGCTTAGCGTTGAAAGTAAAGGAACTTGAAGCTGATTTAGAGAAGACCAAAGAGATTGCAGTTGTAGAGAAAGAAGCTGAAGCTTTACGTGCAAAACTTCATGCAGCTGAGACTCTCTGTGAAGAACTCATGGATGAGAATGAAGACATGAAGAAAGAACTGAGAGATCTTGAGGAGGAGATGGATGAAATGCAAGACAACTTCAGGTAAATATTAACATTTTGTTTTAATTTAGGTGTTCACGAATGTTGTTAATTTGTTGAATGTTGTTGTCTAGTTTTCAAGTGTGTTGTTGAATGAAGCTTGTTAATTTAAAAGTTAAATTAAAGTTCTGAAGTATTCCTTTCGTTTTGTCCTTTTTGTTGTTATGCTCAAGCGCCCGCTGCATGCTCCATTTGGCTGAGATAAACGCTTTCTTCCTGTCAACAGAAGAACACGACACGACCAGCTATTTCCAACTATACTTATAATTTTCTTCCAGTAAAATACGGGCTACAGCAGCTCCATAAAATAATGTCTACTTCTGTATCCAAAGTAAACAATGATACTTAAAGTGCTTAATTCAGTTTTATTTAACTTTGTACAATGATTGTTTTCTAAATATTTTTAACCTTTTTGTTCCAGGGAGGAACAAGCTGATGAATATACATCCTTGAAAAAGGAACTTGAACAATCAAATAAAAATTGTAGAATACTCTCTTTTAAATTGAGAAAATCCGAGAGAAAAGCTGAAGCTTTAGAGGCTGAGAAGCTAGAAGCTGAGAAGAAATGTAGAGAGGTAAAGTAAAATTTTCCAAATTTCAGGAATGGAATATTTATTTTATTGACAGCAAAAATGTTAGTAAAAGTACGGAAGTGGAATCGTATGTTTTTAAGAAATATTTAATTACATCCTTTTTATTGAAAAGGTGTTTATTGCTGAATGATTATACAATTTTCATGTTGAAAACGATGATGTATTCGATAAGTCATATGACAGCAATATCACAGAAAATTATTATTTATAATCAATTAATTAAATCCACAAAGTAATCACCTGCCATAAAATATCTTTTACATGGTATTTTAACTTTGCTTCACAATGTACTTAGAATGACGAGGTTCACTAAAAAAAATCTACAGAGAGACTGATGTAGTTGACTGTATGTTGTAGTGTTGACTGTATATTGGTGGATCAATGGAATTAAAACTAGCAGATTGAATTAAAGTTGATCAAACACGTGTTTCAGTTGGCTGGAGGACAGTCAGGTTTGGACAAAGCTGAGAGGATAAGACATCTTGAACAGGAACTCGCTAGATCCAATGAGGTAACTGATCTGACATATTGTTATATTACTAACTTGCCTCGGTCTTCAATTTACCAGAATCTCAACTTATTATGACTATAGTTATTTGTGCAACTAGTGAGCCTACGGCTTGTGAGTAAAGATTTCTCTCGAGTGAGGCAATTGCACTTTGCACTCGAGTTGCACATTATATTTTTCCTACAGTTACCATAAAACAAATAAATTGGTAAAGAAACTTGCCTTCACGTTGCAAATCTGGAGTGAGACAAAGTAATTAGACAATGAACATTGTCTCACTGATGAGCGAATTGGCCACTTTCGCGCCTTCACGTTGCAAATCTGGAGTGAGACAATGTTAACATTGTCTCACTGATGAGTGAATTGGCCACTTTGCTTTCTCAAATCAGTGAGAGAACATGTACTGTTAGGTAACCGTAGGAAAAATTATTGTTTTTCATTTATTTGTCATGTAGACAATGTGTTCCATTATGCCCATGATTATTGATTTTGATTTTTCACAAATAGTACTGACTAAAGAAACTGTCTTCATCAGTTACGCTATAAATGCGTCTCACATTGCATTCTGCACCCATCCTACACTCAGGCTATTCGGGCCAAAATAATTCTCAGTGTGTTCATATAACGATAATATGCTTAAACTAAACTTATTAAAAAGGTGGCGAAGAGACTGCAGGCTGATCTAGAAGAGGCCAAGAAATCGCAGCCTGCCAATGGTGCAACTAAGAAAAAAGCTCCGATGCTGAGTGTAATCGGAAAATCATCTTCTGGAGAGGTAAAATTCGTAAATAATTGATCTTGTGTGTAAATTTGTACAACAATCTGAAGACAGATTTTTGTTGGTTATCAATTCTGCTGATGAAAAGTTATTCAAACTGTACAAATACTTATAAAATCAAATTTCTTCTGAAAATGTTTTGAATTAAAGGTGATTAAACAGATACTTAATTGCAATTGCATATTGATTTAAGTGTGCTTATTAGTACCAAATACTGAATAATCAATGCTTTTCAAAGGATTAAGGATTGGGAACGGGGAAAAACCTCTTGGAAAATATGGCATTGTACAATGAATAAACATTGATATATATCCCTTTTTACAAGTACCCGATCCCCAATTACCACCATAGATACCATTGATAACACTCAGGGAGCTTCAAATAATCTGTGTTTTTTTTTTTTTTAAGAAAATGTCAAGAGAGACTTTAACACGCGGAGGATCCCAGGAAGATCCTGTTCAGCTCCTGAGGGACTTGCAGGATTCCATGGAAAGGGAGGCTGATCTACGGGAACAGCTGAGGTTTGCTGAGGAAGAGGTAAAACTATACATAGAGTACAACTCGAGAGAAACACAGAGTAATCAATTAAAGAAAAAAGATCAAAATGAGGACCAACAAATAATTACAGGGGGAAATTTGGTTAGAACTGTTTTGTAATAGATTTGTAAAATGGTACAGAGAATCAGGTGGTCTTTAAGTTTTGTTTCATTAATTAAAAAGACAATTTTAATTTAGGTGTTCACTTAATAGGGCTGCTGATATATTAAATATTTAAGTAAATAAGTACAACTGAGCACCCTGAATATTATCTAATATATAAAATTCTCGTGTCACAGTGTTTGTCTGCAAACTCCTCCGGAACGACTTCACCGATCGTTATGAAATTTGGTGTGTAAATTCTGTAGGTATGCGAATCGGACGTAAACTATTTCCCGTTTCGAAATTCTTAAAAGGGCTCCGCCCCAGTGGCTCTGGAGTTTCCCATGTTAACCTTATGAGAAATGGAATTAATGAATCTTAACAGCTGTTTCAATTAAACAAGTTGGTTCTGTTCTATGATGTTCAATAGCATTAAAGTTACAAGGATTACCAACAGGGTGCAGCACTATTATTTCTTTTACATTTATGACAACAGCTAATTTGCAACCAAAAGGTGAGTGAGCGTAGCGAACGAACTTCAACCTGGAGGCGAGTGAGCGTAGCGAACGAGCTAACCTGAAGGCAAGTGAGCGCAGCGAACGAGCTCCAACCTAAAGGTGAGTGAGCGTAGCGAACGAGCTCCAACCCAAAGGTGAGTGAGCGTAGCGAACGAACTTCAACCAGGACGTGATTGAGCGATGCGAACGAGATCATCTTGAAAATTAAACGTAACGGTACTTTCTTTCCATCGGTCTGTCTTAGGAAACCTATAACTTAGGCGATACGAAGTTCGCCGGGTCAGCTAGTATTTTATAAAAAGAAGTGACATGTTTCGGACATTAGTCCATTTTCAAACTTCAAAATACATTATACTTAACCGTTGTTTATATTGTTTGTTTGTAAATAAATATAATTTATATACACAGATGTTTTATAGAACTAGACAGGATTTGGAAAAACTTTTTTGTTACTGATTATTTAATTTTAAAATTTGGTCAAAGATTGGGTTTCTTGAAGGAATTTGGCTATTTAAAATATGATTTGGATTTTTAGATTTTCTTCGTATATGAAATATTCTTCAGTTGAATCCATTCGATTTCCTTTGTTTAAAACTTTTAGAATTTTCATGTTGTTTTTTAAATTTGTGTAATTGTGGTTGGTCGATAAAAGGTGTTCAGCAAAGTTTGATTTCATGGATGTTCTGTTGTTACTCTTAAGAAAACAAAATTAACAATGATTTAAATCCATACCACTCAAAAATCAAATATTGGTACAGATATGTGGATGATGTAATTTGCCTTTTTGAAGGAAATGAAGAGGAAAGTAAAGATTTTTTAAAATATTTGAACACATTGTCCAAGAAAATAAAATTTACCCAAGAAATTAACGATAATGAAATAAACTATCTTGACCTAACTATTTCATATATAAATATATAAATTATATTTATTTACAAACAAACAATATAAACAACGGTTAAGTTTAATGTATTTTGAAGTTTGAAAATGGACTAATGTCCGAAACATGTCACTTCTTTTTATAAAATATAATATTCAGGGTGCTCAGTTGTACTTATTTACTTAAATATTTAATAAGACAATTTTAATACTTTGAAGACTATAGTCTTATACAATGTGAATGTATACAAAATGGCAGATGGATCGATTAGTTTGACTAATTTTTATTAAAATTGTGATGTTTATACCAACCATTTTGTCACAGTTGGGGAATGTACCTCAGACAGTCATAAGGTTTACAGTTAACGTTTGGGTTAATGTCAGAAATCCTCAGGTTTTGTGATAATGCAACTTGAGATAAGGTTTTGGTTATGATGATTTAGATCAGCTATACGCAAAGAAAAATTTATCCATAATTTCATATCAAATTTTAAAAAAAATTAATGTTCTCTTTAGTAATATAGTTAAGGCTAACACACACCGTTTGTCTGTCAGAAGAGCAACTGCTTCGCTGTTAACAATGCCAAACTGTTCGTCCAGTTGACAGACAATCCTCGCGTCTAATTTTAGTTCCCATGTACCAAGTAGTCTTGTCTGGGACACCTTGATGCCATAAAGGCCAATGGATTATATAATGGACCAAAGAGTTATCATTAGATTTACTCTTTGCATTAGACATGTGTTATGCATGGTTTGAGTTAATGATGTTCAATCAATTACTTACTCTCCATTCCCAGGCTGTTTGCCAACTCATCTCAGGCTTTAACTTTGCAACTATGGTACAGGGAGAACGTCTGGTTAGGTTCGTCTGTGCTAATTTTCTCACCGAGCTATTTCTATGCATCTGCTTGATATTGGACAGACCATCTACAAGCCGACAGACCCGGTGTGTGTTGACCCATTTAACAAGCAATGTGGCAATGATATCGTTGGCACACAGATTTCTGTCTGCTAACAGATGAACACTGGTGTGTGTTGGCCTTTAATTTATCTTTATCAACTAAAATATTATGGGTTTCTAATATTATGTTGACCAATCTGCTTAGATTTTTCAGCTGCAAACGAGAAAGCAGAAAATTGTCATCTCAAGAAAGGCACCACCATTTTTAGAAGAGGATGTTGGACAAGAGTCGAATATAACCTCTGTAAAAACCCAAACATTGTTGACACGTTTGACGTCTTTAGCTTCTCAAATGATATCTGTACAAACCCAAACGGACATTTACAAAGAGAGTTCAAGCCAGACAGAACCTTTACAGCGGAAATCAACAGAATCTGACATAGACATGGAAGATTCAGTTGATGAAATTGGTGTACAATCAGATATTAAAAATCTCAACTCTGAAGCATCTATTTGTTCTGTTTGTAAAAGAAGTATATTGTCAGACTGCTTTTCCAAGACCAATATTCAAGATTCAGAAGCTCAAACTGATTTTTACGCACAAGTTGAAGAGATTGGTACTCAAACTATCAGTTCAGATTTGAAAGACTCTAGCACACAATCACAATCAATAACTCCATGCTGTAAAGAAATAAGTATTCAAACTACTAGCACAGAATTGAATGAGGCTAGCACACAATCTGTTCTTCCGTGCTGTGATGAAAGAAGTGTTCAAACTACTAGCAGAGAATTGAAAGAATCTAGCACACAATTTATGAGTCCGTGCTTTATGGAAATGAGTACACAAACAGTTTTTGCACATTTAGAAGTATGTTTGCAAACAGATATTTTAAACCTTGAAGACCGTGTCATACAAACAGACGATCAAACCAGCATAGTAGAAGACAGCACCACTGAAAACATAATCTCGAGGGAAACATTCAGCGATTGTGAAACACAGACAGATTTGACAATTTCCAATGAAAACAGTTCACAAACTGACACACTCCATTCAATTAAAGGTACTCAGCTTTTCGATAGTTTTGGTGAAAACGTTGACAGACTTGATTCCCTTTGTGCTGCGTCAGGAGAAGTTTCCAATCTCCCAGATTCTTTGGATGATCAAGTGCAGTTTGATTTGTGCATGCTTTCCCGACTGAAATTTTTAACCAGTGGTGTGCTCCCCGCCAATGCCTCGGCCCTCCGCAAGGCTTACGTGGCAATGTCAAAGTCGCTTCCCAGCAACTTGGATACCAGTTTCCGAGTTTCCTCGGTGAGCTCACAGACAGACCCACAGTTCATTCGTCCTGTCCACTTCTTCGGATCCATGCTACCTCTAGTTAATCCGTCTCCAATGGCCGTCTTACTAACACCTTTAGGTAAATCAACAACTCAACCTTATTGTCTGATTTCAGGCTGAAACATTGCGCAAGAAAGCATCGAGAGTGGAAGATGATAATGAATCCTTGGTTTTGCAGCTCAAGAAAATGGCTACCAAGGCCAGAAGTATGTCTGATCGATTGTATTCTGGACGGTCGACTTCTAAATCTAACATCAACCTTGCTAATGCTTTATGCTTCTTTGGCGTGGTGTGAAACATACACTATAGAAAACACTGTAATCCTGCAAGTACTGGAAGGCCTTGTACCCATTTTCTTAGACTGCGTTGATTTGAGGAAAGTCAGATTGTTACACTTTTAGACCAGCATTTTGTTTTATTACCTGCATCATTGTTTCACTAACACATAACTGTAGTTTATACCCTCATGTTTGGTATGTGTTACCATTGCATGTTTTGTATCATAGAGTTTAAATAAGTGTAGATTACTTTAATATTATGTGAAATCCCAAAATTATCATGAAAAATAATCATTTTTGTAAGTTTAACATTGAGAGATTTCTATAGTTCTAAACTAATATCTTTTAAAATAGTAGCCTACTATCCTAAATTACAATACAATTAAAAGAGATAGTAGTTCCCTACTCGATTGTTTAAATTCCACTTTAGAATTTGTTATTGAGTATATTATACTGCCTGTATAGAATCCTTAGCTCAATAATTAGTAGAATCATTAGTAGTGGACCTAAAGTCCAATAACTTTTACTTGCTAAACTCTGATAGTTGTATGAATAATATATACAGGGTGAGGCAATGAAAGCGCCCTAATTTATAAGCAGTACAAACTCAATAATATTTACTCTATGGATATAAATAGCACATCAAAACACAGCTTATCTTTTGCCATTTTAACTTAACAAAGTCATTTTTCCATTTCTTGAGAACGAAATCCTGCAAGTGACGTCCTTGTCCTACTTGACATTAGGCACTTGAAAACTCCATCAAATACTCCTCCAGCATTTCTTCAGGAATCACTTTAGTTTTTGGATAATTCTTAGCTTCGGTTCAAGCAAATCTGTGGGGTGACTTTGAAAAACCTCGACCTTCAAGTAGTTTATTAGAAACCCCCCCCCCCCCCTGTCCAAAAAAAGGAGCCAACGTAAAGCTTTCAACAACAACATCTTCCTGGCAAATCTCTTTGGACTTTGAGTTACTGCGACTCGCACTCTTTCAACATTTGCTGGTGTACAAAGAGTTTTGCAGCACCCACCGATTATTTTTTAGGTTTAAGCGTTTATCCTAAATAGTTTTACCCAGTTCACCATTGTTTTCCAATCTGGAACAGGGCCATGTTGACCAAGGATGGAATGTGGTCCAAACAATCTCTGGGTTTTTGCACAAGAACCACTATTTTAAAAATAGGTTTGCACATAAAAATCTCAGTGTTAATAGCCACGGGCATAATATTTACTAAAATGGCATGGATTAATTGATGTTTTAAGCACAGCTGATTATTCGTTGTTGCAACAATTAACATGTGACAGCTAAAACAAATTGTGGCGTTCTCATTGCCCCACCCTGTATTTAACTTGAGAGTCCCCTGTAATCAAAAAGAAATTTCCCATCAACAGTAAGATTAGAACTGACCATTAATAATTGCATTTTGAAGTAGCCAGTGAGAATTTTAGGGCTGAATAAGTAGAGCAAATGTCATCAGTGGCGGATGATGGATGAACTTGGTTTTTATTGTGATGGGAGAACTTCATCCTAGAGTCCTCATGAACCAGCCGCCACTGTTTCCCATTGTGAAAGAACCCATTGTTAGCTGTTACCCGAAAGAGATAAAGTTTCAAATTTAAATACTAACTCGTACAAGTCTCATCAGCTTATCCTGATTTACCAGGTAGAAAGACGAGTCCTACTCCCTCCCGGCTAACACCTGAACCTCCCGTGGAGAAGGATGAAGGAATCTCCGATGAAGAAGATCCTGCGGAGCTCAGACTGCTTCTTGAACTGAATGAACAGGTAAACGACAGCGTTCATGTGGTCCTGGTACTAAGAAGGTTCATGTAATTTCTCAAAGTTCATATGTAGTTCAGGTAGTTTATGTAGCGTGGGTGCTGAGTAATCTTTTCATACATCCAACACCTTATTTTGAATTAATAATAACTTTGTGAGCAAAAGACGTAATAAACTGTATTATCTACACTTGATTAGAGAAGTATACAAGTGAGATAAATAACAAAACTGGCACTGAATTAGTGAATAAATAATGCTGTTTGGTTCACAATCATTGCTTTGAACTACAATGTAGTGTGTTTCTCAGTAAGGCTTGGTGGGAAGTGTCTCTTTTGACATTATATTATGTTTAATGAAAATAAGATGATGTCAAGATTCATTATGTTTTTGTTGTGAATGAGATACAGCTAGTCAAATGGTTAAAGTAAAAAACTTTTGTGCTAAAGACATGCGTTCAAATCCCACCAATCGCCAATGAATTTAAGCTGTGATATATCTAGAAATCTTTAAAGCTCATCAGATGAGGAGAACCTACTCTGTATTGGAGAACCGTCTCTACTAATCTTTGATCTAGGAGGCTGCAGTGCTGAGGCGCAAGGTGGAGGAGCTGGAAGGAGTGGAAGATATGCTGAAGAGAAAAGTTAAAGAACTTCAGGAAAAACTGACATCCAAAACTACCTCGGCAAACCGTAGAGATCTCCTAACAGGAGCTGGTTCCACCAAAGATAACATACATGAGAAGAAAATAAAGGTAAAACATTAATAACTTTTCGTATATTTGAAAAAAAATCTGATTAACTTATCCACCTTTATGATTTAGGGGTTGTTGTTAAAAAAAACTCTTGGACAGTTTATATCTTGGATGTGCTTTTGCAAAATGTATAAATTCTCTGATCTCTTACCAATGGGTGAAGACTCACAATCATGTTATGGTGTAGGAGTTATACCTGTGTTTTTTTTTTAATATTTATTTTAAAACATAAGGGTGGTTCAAAAGTTCTCTGGTGAGTTCATCTTTGTTTTAGATGCCCATTTACCTTCTTTGTGATTATTTATAGCTCCCTATGAACATAAGTACAGTAAGAAGCTCTCTATCTAAACTTAGTTGGGAGAAGTTAGTGGACATGAGAAATAAAACTGAATTAAAATGTTATCTGTGATTGGGTAACAATAATTGTAATTATGAGTATTATTTGATTTTGACATTTCAACGTTAATTTTAATTCATTGCATTTATTTAACATTAATAAAAAAATGTTTTTTATTTCAATATGTAAGATTACCAAATAAATAGGGTAGATTTTGTTTAAGATTCCTTTTTGTTGTAACTTTTTTAAGGTTAAACAAATTGTTTGTATTATTATTTTTTAAATTCTTTAGCAGGTATTCAATTTAGAATATTGTTTGCAGGTCCTTGAAGAAGAAATGAATGAACTTCGTAAGAAACTTTTAGACAAGGAGAGAGAATGTGAAAGACTGAATACTGAACTTACTTTAACACAAAAGAAACCAAAAACTCTACAAAAAAGCAAGTAAGTTAAGTTAAAAGAAAAAGTACATAGGAGTAGTAAGTCAAGTTTAGAGGATAGTGAAATAATAATCCATTTATTTGATTCATACTAAATTTATTGATTGATGGTTACCATCCACCATTTATCACAAGAAAATTCAACAAGATTATTAAATCACTGAGTGACTTTTACTATGTACGTATTTAGCTTATTGTGAATACAGATAGGATGTAGAATTTATATTTTAATTCTTTTAATTTAATTTCTACAATATGCGAACACCAGGGTGAATATTTGAAGATGAGTGAAGAATGAGTGTTAAATGAATGGGATGTGTCTGAAGTCAGCTCTAGTTCTATATCCAGTACTATTTATTGAATAAACAAGGTCAGTTAATCCAGCTTCAAACCACCAACTACTGGACCACCAAAAGTTACTGATTTTTTTAGCGACCATCTGATTATTTGGAAAACTAAAAATACTCAGCTAACCAGCATATGCAGGTCCCTTAGTTGCCATTGGCTGTATGGGCTATTAATTAACAGCTGTGTCTAAGGAAAAATGCCAGCCTTAGTTACTAACAATACTACAAGATCGTGTCACTCATCCTACACTCATCTCCATTCATACTTGGCTTAAAATACCTACATTAACATGGTCGCTATTGCAGATTAAAGTATTAAAGTAATGTTATTATTAAAATTCAATTTATCACGCTGAACAGCTGTTTGATTTCTATTGGACCAATTTTTACTAGAACTAGTTTTAACAAACTTAGTAGTTTTTTCAACATATTGTGTAATTATTTTCTAGGTCTCTTGACTACGATCAGCAAGCCCTGGACTTGAAGCGGCAACTACAGGTTGTAGAACAAGAAGCGAACGTGCTGCGCAGCCGCAACACGACGTTGGAGACAGAAAACGAGAAGTTGCTGACAGAGAACAAACGGCTGTCTCTGACTCAAGCAAAGAAGTCACCTCTGGATAGAACTTCTATAGACACTAAACTGCGCGTTGTTGAACTAGAGAAAAAACTTGAGGAGGCAAATAAGAAGGTATGTGAAATATGCAGTGATTTTTTAATGAATGTAACTATCATAGACAACATTGTATTGTATTAAACCTCAAGGATGCTGCACCTACAGTAGACTCCCTCTTATCTGGACACCTGTTGACCATACTACACTCGACGGAAATGACATCTCTTTAACCAGACAATTTTTATCAGCACATCGGTTTAACCGGACAAGATAGGCAGGAAGTGGGCGGTACTTAAACGACTGTTCTCATGAAAGATTTGTAAGGCAAATATGAAGGTAAATATGCAAGTATGCATCCAAACGAGTTTTAACGAGTTCTTTTGGGACGTTGGTTTAACCGGAAAACCCGTTATCTGGACTGGCCTCAGTCGCAAGGGAACCAGTTAAGAGGGAGTCTACTGTATGGCCAATAAGCATTATGAATTGTAGAATAAGACTCTTAAGAACTCAAACACATAAGGTTGGTTGAGCAAATTAATCAATCAATTTTGGTTTACATCATGAAGATTTTTATATGCTATTTGAAAAATTCTTATAATTTTATGTATGCTCAGCTTGCAGAGAAAGGAGACGATTCCAAAGGCAAAACTGGAATTGATGTTAAGAAAACAACCACTTCTACATCTGAAGTTGAAAAGCTGAAAAAAGATTTATTAAAGGTAAATTTGCTAACTATTTTTTTTATCTTAAAGTTTGTATTTATTTGTTTTATTGTGGTAGCTAATGATCCTAATTGGTCTTTTGGTAAAAAAAAACATTCTCCGAATTCTAAAATAAAAAAAGTAAAAACTGATGACACATATTATTTTGAGAAAATTTGCATATGTCAACAAAGACAAAATTAAGTGTGTTTTTTTTTTTGTGAATTTCCCTTATAGGAAATAAGCTATTCCCAAAGGTCTTTTATAGTGAGACCTCTAGGACTGATTCATTTTTTATGTCCCCAGCTAGGTCAAAAACACCATACGTTAAAATTTACATACGAATGAAAAGAAAATATACCAAGAAAATGGTATACTGTCTAAGATTTTGGTAAGTTTTTTAAATTTATAATGATATGAGCAGGCTCTATGACATTAGATCTCTTCCAGTTTCTTACTTTATACGTTTACGCTCTTTTCACACTATACGTTATTGTCACATGGTTAAAAACTGTACGGGTAAATTTGTTTAGTAGTTTTATGAAGAGCATGTGAGCTTACACACAACACAGTTATGTCCGGTGTTGGCAGCTGTCTATTGCCACTGAACCAACCTTTCACATTACAAAGTTGTTTTTCCTAACGGGAGCCCACCAGCCCATTGTAAATAAATCAGCTGTTGCACTGTTTATTTTTAACAATCTGGCTTTCCATACGACTGTTTATTTTTATTGTTACATTGTAAACACATTCATCTCGCTGTATGTTCAGAATCTGTGTAATGCAGAAACATAGACAAGTCATAAAACTCTATTGTTTTTACTGATCTTTGTTTTTACCGTATACTGTGTAGAAGGATAATTAGAACGGTGCGAATACATAAATATGAACGAAAAAACTTTTAGCTCAAAAATGATATTTCACAGAGAGTATTTTAAATAGTGTTTAATTTTATTCTTCAGGCTGAAACTGAGAAGAATAAACTGAATGCTGCTCTAACAAGGTTAAAAGAAGAATCTATCATCGATGTTCTTAAATTCTATAAGGAAAGAACACCAAAGAAACCAACTGACATAACAACAAAACTACAGATGAAAAAAATGGTGGAAGATTTGGAAAGTGAAATCGGTATGTTTATAGGCTGGTCAAAAAGTGTTTAGATCAGCGTTTCCTAACTTTAAGGCAGAGTTCAAGTTGAAATCAAGGTTGAAATAAAAGCATTGTTTTTTGCATTCTAAAAATAAATATCTCTTTACTCTTTACAATAAAAATAGCATATAAAATATATTCTCATCATGAAAAATAAAAATAATATGTAAAATTATTTTTCTCTATTATTATTTCTTAGTCTTCATTAAACCACTTTTACCAGCTTCTTGAAGTTTTCATTTGGCGTTTCTTAATAACTTTAAAAATTTCTTTGGATTCTAGTTTACTTTTTTTTAATGGGACTAAAATCTAATTTATAATGCCAAAACATGAAAAAATTACAAACAAAATACAATTCAAATGTACAATTAAAATATCTTTTCCTACAGTCACCGGACAAAGTTGACTTTCTTGTACTGTTTATAGTACAGAAAGCTGCTAATTGCTGCATATTTATACTTTGTCGTACGATTTATACTTATACTTATACGGCTCGTGCGTAAACATTGCTCTCGTGTGAAGCAAAGTGCCACTTTGAATTTTTAAGTTACACAAATAACTATTGCTTACAAAACTACTAAATTTGGAATTTTATTGAACCTGAGCAAAGAAATAAGGTCTACTCTGATGAAGAAGTCTTGGTTTTTGGAGCTGTACATTATTTTATGGCTTTCAATTTTAAATTAATGTATAGTTCTTTTTTTAAACTCATCTAGTATTTTCAAACTTCCTCCATGATTCTTATCCTCCTCATATCTTTGGTCACTTCATTTTTCCACCTCATTTTTGGACGCCCAGGAGGTCTTCTTCCAACAGGGTTCTCTTTCCAAACTTTCTTTATCAATGCATCATCTTCTCTCCTTAACACATGCCCGAGCCATCTTATTCGTCGACTTTTTGCTTCCCCCACAGCATCTGGTGGAAGGTGCTGAAGATCGGAAGAAATGGAGACATTCAGTTGGCAAGGCCAAATACCACCTTGGGTATCGATGGCCATGGGAGTAAGAGTAAGTAAGTAAGTATTTTCAAACTTCAGGTATTATAAAACGAATTAGGTATCAACTACTATATAGTTGCTGAGAATTTCAATAACTGAAAAATTATAATCTTAAAAATGATCTTTTCTCAGGTGAAATCCTCTCTGCTTTCAAAAAATGTCACGAGGAAAAGGAAAAATCTGGTGGTAATAACATTCAAAATAATGACGTCAGTAAATTTAAAACTGAAATTGATGAATTAACACGTAAGCTGGAAGATTATGACAAAGAAAAGAAAACATTCCGTGAAGAAAAGGCGAAGTTAGAGAAATTATTAAAGACAGCAGAAGAAGGTAAGCGTTTTTACTCTAATGTTTGTTGTCATATAAGAGTTTTATGGCAACTTTTAATGCTAGAAATACCAAAAAGTTTGAATTTATAGATTGTTATTGAAATCTACATTAATATTTTATTTTTACCCATTAATTTACAGAAAAGAAGCAACTAGATGAAAGTGTTACGAGGATAACAAGCAAGACTGAACTAGAAAAGAAAGCTTTAAAAGATGCTAAACTAAAACTGGAAAAAGAAAAGAAAGAATTGGAATCCAAGTTGGAAAAAATGTCAAAAGATAAAAGTAAGTTTTTGAATAGTTTGATTAGTTTTGTTTGGTAAATAAGGAGTTTCATTTTGGACTCTGTTAAATTATGTAGATATTTAAAGATTGTGATTACATGAGATCACACTGTTACTGTTTTACTTACATGATTTTTATTTTAGATTCCAGTGAACTTACAAAATCTGAAATAGAAACTTTAAACAAAAAGATAGAAAAGCTAGAAAAGGATCTGAAAGAAGAAAAATCGAACACTGAAAAACTGAAATCTGAATTGGAAGTAGCCAAAACAGCTGGGAAAGAAAACTCACAGCTTTCAAAAGATGTAAGTAATGAGCTAGGTTTGACTTTGTTTATTTATGAGTCAAAATGGTAAGATTTGTTGAGCAAACACTAATATTTCAGTTACAGGGGTGTTTTCAAAAACTGTTAACCAATCTAAGAAAACGTATAAAATACAGATATTTTTTTTTAATTTACGTATATATTTATAGTAAATTACAAATTTACAAAAAAATTACAAAACGGATATTTTTGCAATATATCTTTCATATTCTCCTTTATGTAGCCTGAATTAATTGTAATTCCTAATTTAAACTAAGTATTTACTTCGTAGTATTTTAGCTTCCAAATGTTTAATTAATTTTGAAACTTGAGTAAAATCCCTACTTATGATAATACACAAAATGTGTTCAGAATAGTTTCAGCACAAAATTGATGCTATTCTCAAGAACTGAAATTCTTGGTTACTTGTCATCAACAAACTGATGAACACCAGCTGATTTAGCAAGACATACATTCATGGGAAGTTGCTATCCTGTGCCAGCATTCCGACATCCACGAGGCCACGTATTCCCTGCAATACTCTGTGGATCTTCTTATTGATTGGTTCTACAAGTGGAAATTTCGCCTGAATTCAACAAAATGTGAAACCAAAATATTCTCCTTGAAAAAACATACATTGCCACATGAAATTCAAATATATGGTAACTTTCTACCTTGGAACCCTGATGACCAGGCCATAAAATATCTTGGAGTATGGCTGGACAAAAAACTTAATTGGAACTACCACGTTAATCAAAAACTGTCCCAAGGTTATGCACGCCTTGCAAAGCTTTTCCCTTTAATCAATAGGAAATCTACTCTGAAGCCAGCTTGTACAGTTCTAATCTATAAATCAATAATTCGGCCCTTGATTACATATGCATCTCCTATCTGGGGATTAGCTATATCAAAAAACAAACTCTTCAAAATTCAAGTGATTCAAAACAAAATTCTAAGAATAGCGGTGAATGCTCCCTGGTTTGTTAGAAACAGGCATATACATGAAGAACTAGGAGTGGAGTCTATCTCGGCCTTTATTGAAAAAACCACCTCAAAATTTCTAAAATCTTTAAACGATGTTCCTGGTGCATTAACTTTTAATCTTGGTGAAGCAACTGAGAACAGGAGGCTACGTCGAAGGCTCCCTCAAGATCTATTGGAGGAATGAAGCCTAAAGAAGATTAAATCATTCTCTAAATTAATTATGTTACAGGGTGACTCAGATTTGGGCGAACCCACGATGTTATTATAGTTAATTTCTTATTAATTTTGTTAACACTTCTGTGTATAATGTCTACATTGAACCAGAAATAAATGATGCTGTAAAAAAAAAAAAAAAAAAAGTTTTATAAAATCAGCTGATTGTTAATATTTACAAGGACCATATAGTTGTATCATATAGTGTTTAACTCCAGGCCGCGTCCTTTGAAGTGTGACATTGTCGCAAGTAGTGCTATTACAGCTCTTTAGTTTGGAGGCAGCTAATGTTATTTGTGTATTTTTTTAAGAATACGAAAGCTTGGTTACTGGGCTATGAAAATATTGACTTCATTTTTTTTTACAGGAATAGGTTTTCAATTTAAATTGTTTTGGTTTTTAATCCTATATGTTTTATCTTCAATCTTTTGATAAATTTATGTTCATAAATTTAATTTTAATGAACAATACGCGAATTAATGAGCTGGTGTCACCTGTCCGCCACGTTATCTTATGACGTCTGGTGCTAAATCAACACTATTTGCTGTTGCAAACTCTTCTCAGGCCTACCTTAAGCAGAATTTTTATTATTTTCAAAATATTTAGTTTTATTATCATCCATGACTTAAAGTCACAGCTTATTCAGGGAATACATAATAAATGTTTACAGTCTGTTGAAAAGACAAAAAAGATTGTAGAGCTTGAAAAGAAGTTCAAAGAAGCGGAAGAAAAGTTAAAGAAATCAGAGAAGCTTGTGGCCACAAAGAAAGAGAGGATAACCAAACTTACAAAGGAGGTAAGAATTATAAAACTACTTATTTGTACAAAAACTTTTTAAAATGTATTAAAATCTTAATTTTAGGTAATTGTTTTCATGTAAATAGCGTTTTGTTTTGAATGATTGATATGTTGACACAATGTTGATGGGGTTTTTACACATTTTTATCATAAACTAAAATATCTTTCATTAACCATGAGACAATTTTTTTATATTTCAATCATGTTAAATCCTACCCTTAGCTTTCTATGAACATGATGTGTCTAAGATCCACATTTTGAATCAATAAATAATATTAATGATTTATGTATGGATAAGAAGATAACAAGGATTCGGGATTTGGATGAAACAGAAAAGTCTAAAAAACTATGAACAACTTGGTTCCCATGTAAAATATAATCATGGATATCTTCACAGATACTTTCAAGAATTTGTGTTAAATTAATCTGAAATATAAAGATTTTAAATAGTAATTTGTTTTCATTTAGCTGGATGATTTCAAAAAAGAAAAATCAGAAGAATTGGAAAATTCTACCAGTGAAAAGGATTCTATAAAAAGCGATTTGAACAGATTGGAAGACAAGGTGAAGCAGCTTCAAGATGATATAAGTAATAAGAACAGTCTCATTGAAACATTGGTAAGTATGTCTGCTGTTTGGTTACATGGAAACTAAGTATTATGCTGTGTATTGCTATATTTTTCCTACAGTTACCTATCAATGTACATGTTCTCTAACTGATTTGAGAAAGCAAAGTGGCCAATTCGTTCATCAGTGAGACAATGTTAACATTGTCTCACTCTAATTACTTTGTCTCACTCCAGATTTGCAACGTGAAGGCACAAAATAGTGAGCACGTAACATGCAGACAAGGTCGTATGCGCGCGAAATACGTTGGCAGCACTGGCTGTAAATCAGCTGGTCAGCTGTTGTACTGTTGTATCATAATAAAAGTTCACTTCTGTGTAAAAATATGTTACGTTTCTTTACCAATTTATTTGTTTTATGGTAACTAAAGGAAAAATATAATGTGCAACTCGAGTGCAAAGTGCAATTGCCTCACTCGAGAAACCATTCCAGTAATAAATACAGTAAGTATTTCTCTCGAGTGAGTCAATTGCTAACTTTGCTCACTAATTGCACAAATAACTATATCGTCATACTGCAGCAAAAACAGTCGTTTTTAATGCATGCGTTGCGGGGGGTAAAAAGGCGAGTAAAAATCAGCTGTTGTAAACAGTTGTAAATTTCGATACTGGCAATTGTATTGATCAAAATTATTTATTGATTGATTTATGAGGTAAGATTTTAGCCTCTTGTTGTCGATAGCTCGACATATCTATGGTATAATGTACTGTATATCTATAACACAATCAATAGACAAAATGATTGAATCACTTACTAAACAACTGCTTATTTGCATTAGCAGAATTGAAAACAAGCTGGAAATTGTTTTTTAGAGGTTATCTTTACATAAGAAAAATTTCTTTGCCAAGCTTCATAGTTTGTTAATTAATTATGAAATATATGAAAGAAATATTGTTCACCACACGGGCAAAAAGTGTCTATTTAACCCTCGCTAGTAAAACTTGACCTCGGGTCAAAAAGAGTCACTTTAGGCCCTAGTGATGAAATATACTACCTATTAAAAAATCATTAAAATATTTTCAAAAAAAAAACTATCCTATGGTTCTTTGAAATGTTGTAAAATATCATGTGCTACAAACTCCTGTGTAAACATAGCTTTAGGAAAGCCATTCACCACAAGTGCTAAGCATTTAGTAATTGTATTGACTTTGGATATTGAAGTAGCCATTTAAATCTATAAGGGCATACATTAAATATGCCACTGCCCCCTATACAGTTATCCTTTACTCTAAAGATTTCATTTTACAACAATTTATCAAACGATTGAATGGGTACCATATTCTGTTAATATCGCATGATTCCTTGATTTTTTGGTGAAAAGACAGTCCTTAAGAAGCTGTTTACAAAAAAAATAATAAAATAAAAACAATAAATTTACTTGACTTGCGCCAGTTTATCTATTTTTCAAACTACCAGTCGCAGTTCTAGGATTTTTTCAAGAGGAGGAGGGCTACTGAGGGGTGTTCCACATCCCTGAAGAAAGGAGGAGGCGTCTTCCTCTGGAAAGTTTTGTATTTTAAAACTGTTTGGTGACTTAAAGCAATTTTGAACTTTTAGAATTGTGTCCAATAACCTCCATTGTGTTTTTATGAAGAGATGTATGTAAACATTTTGTCCAGGGTCCAATGGGGGGAACGCTTTAGCCCCTCTAACCCCCCCCCCTTCCCTTTAACCACCACTGCAAATGACATTTCTTTTTATTTGAGGAGTTTCAGTCAAAATATTGTCTTGCTACATGGATAAGGAGGAGTGTAGGGATTTTATTTTTTGAAGTAAACAAAAAAGTGTTTTAAATATTTAAGTTGCCAATTGTGTCTATTCGCAGGAGGGTAACTTGAGGAAGGAGAGAGAGAGAGCGACTGATGCTACTGTGAAGGCTGGCTCTGCTGCGAGTCGAGAAATCAACCAACTTCGCGAAGAGCTCACTCAAGCCAAGGCTAACTTGCAAGAGCTTAAGGGAAAGTTAACAAAGGTCTGTTCCATACATCATTTTGTAATTTCTTAACATTGACACTGCTTATTAAGTATATAAAATTTAAAAATAAATTTATACTCATATGCTTGAGTTTTCATTTTATTTTATTTTTTTTTTTTGTAGTGGTAAACTTGATTATCTACTGTGGACAAATTGAGCATACAATTTCCTGGGATTCTAAAACACCCCCGGTAACTTGTAAACAAAGTAAAACAAGCATGATTTAACGGTTGAATTTGAGAATTTATGATGCTAAAACAGAAGTTTACGAGACACTTCCTCTCCATCCTCCACCGTTCTTCTTATTCTCACTTAATATGTACAATCTTCTTTTCTAGCAAAATAAGATAGAGAAATAATTGATAGGCAATACAAATCAATAAATCATCAGTATTTGTTTTTGGATTACTGTTGAAAATTGATTTAGACTTAATTTTTTTTTTTTGCAAGCAAAATTAAAACACTACAACAATAAGGGGTTCTATTTGAGTTTGATTTATCTATCTCCATTAGATTTTAACTCTAGGAAAAGCTTAAAATGGATCACTAGTTGGTTAATAAGTGTACTTTTTATATTTTTAGGTAGAAAATGACAAAAATGATTTGGGAAAGTCAGCAAAAGAAACAGAAATCAAACTGGAAAAAGAAATCAAGAGTTGGGAATCAAAGGTATCAGATCTCGAGCTTGAACTGCAGGTAATTTTTATGAATAAATTAATATTAAAACAATAATCTAAAATGCCCTCTTGAGTTGTATACAAGATTCTTATTATATATTTCTGCTTTGTTTTAGACTACTAGGAAAGCATCAGAAAAATTGAAAGCTGCCCATGAAAAAGAACTTAAGCTAAAAGAAGAAGAGCTTTCCAGTGCTAAAGACAAGATAAAGCAAGCGGGAGGCAAAAAGGTGGCAGACACAAAGTTAGAATATCAAGCTAAGATTGATAGTAAGTTCTACAATCTTATAAATTTATCATCATTGTAACATTTTAGAGTGGTGAAGATTTCTCTTTATTTATAAATTACTCTACCAATGTGAAATTCGCCCTATAAAAGAGATAAACATTTAACTTCATCACAACACAAATGTAACCAAAAATAAAACACACACAGTAGGACAAGAAATACTACTTGCAGATTTTGCAGTATCTAAGTTGAAGTTGGTGGTTATCTATATTACTTATTTAATACGCAAGCACGATTTTTGTGACAATTACTCCTCCGAAACTACTGAACCGATTGGCATGTTTTTGGTGTCATTGGAAAGAGCGTAACTTGAAGTTGTGCAGGAAACTTTCTTTTTAGGTAAATAATTAGAGAGTGAGGCCCTGGGGCCCTTTAAAGTTTCGTATTCATCCATAAGATTAACATGGGAAACAAACATTGTTTTGAAACTCCAGCTGTTGTCAGAAACATTGTTTTGAAACTCCAGCTGTTGTCAGAAATTAAATATTAAATAATTGGTCTCCATGGAAGCATGAGAAAGTTCATAATGTTTACATTTGCTTTGACATTTTATTGTAAACAACTAGAACTGTCAAATGTCTATTTAACAAATTCCGACAGCTGATCAAAAAAAAAAGTATTTTCCTTCCACCATGTAAAACAACCATGTGGTAGGTTTATATAATCTTAAACTTCATGATAGATTATTTATTATAAATCTATTTCAATGATTATGAAACAGATTTTTCCCATTGCGAAGCAAAAATTAATAGTGAGAAGAAGAACATATGTAAAACAGTCTATGTGTAAATTATCTATGTTGTATTAAAAATGTGTTTAGTTTTGGATGTTGGTTTGTGTTAAATGATATCGGTGATTAGTTATTGCATTTTTATTCTAAGGATTTTGCATATGAGTAAGCTAGAACGGTAGTGCATAGCATATGTCACCCGGCATCTACGCATATTAATAATTGTGTTTATAAAATGTAGTTTTATAGTGTGATTTTTAAAGCCGGTTTAAAAGGGTTTTTAACTATTTCGTTAACCCTCCAACTTGCAATGCACAAACTCTGTAGTGGCAAGGCATTTTTGGCAATTTTGCGGTCATATTAGCGAAAATTTCTTATAGGCTTAAACCAACAGACCAAACGTATTGAACCGTATACTTAAAGTGTTCGTAATGAAATGAAGAACTTGAAAATGGCAACAAAATAAATATTTAAAATATTGATTTTTCCCTACAAAATTATCATAGTTGCTCCAACCACTTAGTCAAAGGTTGTTGACAAGCTTATGGGAGAAAGTATGTGTCAGATTGCTGATACCGTTTATTTTATTTATTTATTTATTCATTAAATGGACATAACCAATAGGCTTACAGGTTGAAAATAATTTTGTAATATGTCAAATGTGTACAAGATGGCTAATAATAGAGATCAAAGTTAAATTAAATAACTAACCCTTTGCGATCGAATGGCGAGTATCGGTTGCCGCCCGCCATTTTTGAGCAGTCGGGAAAATGACCTATACTCACAAAAAAGTTTATCTTTGTGGTCGAATGGCAAGTATATGTCGCCGGGCACCATTTTCCCGACTGCTAGAATGACAACCTATACTCGCTGTAAAATTTAAAAAAATCAACCTCAAAGGGTTAATCAACATAATCTATACTTATTTAATACGCAAGCACAATTTTTGTGACAATTACTCCTCCGAAACTGCTGAACCGATTGGCATGAATAAATAACACCGATTGGCATAAATAACACCATTTCAGAGTTCTGCCAGTTTTTGCCTAACTCTATCCTGTAGAGTTTAAAGTAGCATACACCTTATTGTCTACATATTGGCCAAACAACTTAGGTACGGTACTTTATAAAAGCTGACAGCCTTTACGTTGACTTAAATTATAAGCTTACCTTTTCCCATACATGGGCAGATTGATTGTTAAAAATTAACCCTTTAAACTGGAATAGGACTGTCATGTAAATTGTGAGTATTTTTATCAGTTAATAATCTTTTAGTTGACTCTTTTAAAATCATCAGAAATTATGACTGTTATTAGTTTTTTAACAAGTTATTTGTTTATAAATAACTCCTGTACTTCTTTGCAATTGCTCGATTTCGAGCAACATGTACACTAGTATTAATAAATTCTATCCATCCACAGAATTAGAGCTGGCATTGTCAAGTGAAAAGAGGGAGTATGATGATTTAACAGCAAAATATGAACAGTTGGAAGAGGAACACGTAGTAATGAAGTCAAAACTTGTTATGGAGAAGGAAACGGTTCAGGCGTAAGTATCTAAAAATCCCAAGTATCTACAAAAGCTATTCTTTAAAAATCAAATTTTAAAGCAAACTTATACGGTTAATTGTTACAACGAAGTATTTAGAAAAAGCATAATTTGATCGCTGCCAACTCGTCTAGTTGTTAGAGTGTGAATCTTCTGTTTAGAAGGCCTGGTTTCAAATCTTAGCAAACCCTAATAGTTTAGCTATATAATAACGTTGCGGCCTTGTAATTTAGAGCCTATCTCAAGCTACACTTGATTACACAAAATGATGGATCAAATTAGAACTTTCTTTATTGAAGATCTCCCACTAAAGCCATACAATAATGATTTAATTAGGGGGCAGAACCACAATACAACTATATACTATAACTTTATTTCAACACACACTTGAAGAAAAAAAGAATCCACGTTCTTACCACTAAACCATTGGATTTCAAATTTCAACAGTATTTTTTTTTGTTCTCGAGTTATAGAAATGCATAGTGTAACTTTTTTACAGACAACTTCTCAAAGTTCAACAGGATTTGGATTCAACAAATGAAAAGTTGGAATCGTTAAAGGAGAGTACTGAAACTAAAGAAAAGTTATGGAAGAAAGAAAAGAGCACCCTTGAGGTAAGTTTTTTTAACAGAATACTTTCATGAAATTCGGATGGAGAAAGTTAAGACATTTCAGTTTGAATGTACCATGATAATTGAAGTGGCCACTCATTTGCTTGTAGTTTTTAGTGATGGTTGGATAATAGATATTGTTGTTATATTATTGATCGAAAACCACTTCATAGGTGGAGAAGCTTGTTATTTAGTTTCAATTTTGGATTGAAATTTTCTGATTCTATTTAAAATATGATTGTCTCTTTACGTACTACCTTGACTCACCTATCAGACCTGTCAAAATGTCAAGAAGTTTTTGGTCTTATGAACAACTCATTGTCATCTTTCTCAATCTCGTATAAGTCAACGTATGCTCATGTTATTTACATTTTTTATATAGCTTCGCTAACTCCAACAAAACTTTGACTACCGTAAAGGTCACTACAAAGACCTCTTCTCTCCTCGCCACATGGTCACCTCTATTTAAGTATTCCACCATTATTCTGTACTGTTTGTGTGTCTTAAAATAACTCTTTGTATTTTTTATTGATCTTTCCATTTCACAATCATTTATGGGTCATAAAAGTTTTTAGATTTTATTTAATATTTCATCTTTATCACTAATTTGTCACATGATTTTTTTAAACAGGAGAAAATCCAAGGCCTTGAGAAGAAGGTGAAGTCAGGCAGTGATTCAGCGGAAACTTGGGTTCTGGAGAAGAATCGGTTGAATGCAATCATAGATGAGAAGGGCTCTATCATTGAACAGTTGAAGAAAGAACAGCAGAATCAGTTGGAGCAGATAGATCATATGCATAAGGAGGTGAGTTGATCTACCGTATTGGATACTTTATTGTCATACACAAAAATTCACCTGTTGAACCATTGACATTCTGGTACATAAGGACACCCCATCTATATGAATCATCTGTTAGCCTATTTTTATTCAAAAATGACATAGGTCTACTATAATACCAATTAATTGAGATTAGAACGGTCCGACATATTGAGATGAGAATATAACACAATATATGAGTGAAGGATGAGTGTAGAATGGAGTGTGACGCCTTGTGTAGCTTTAATTGTTAATAAGATCAGCTGTTTCATTAGTCAGGACTTTATTAAAAGCCAAATGATCAAGGACAGCTGGGTCCAGTTTCGAACCATGAAAGAGCTACTAACATTCCTTAGGATCAAACTGGGGACCTTTTGATTACCAGGCAAGCACTATACAGTAGTTTAATAATCCGCTCACACAATCTAAAATTCTATTTTCCCACTTAAAATGGAACATAAAAAAATTCCCACTCTGTTGGTGGCTCAATTAAACTAAATCTAAAACTAAAACTGGTGACATTAAAATGGGGTTGGAATGTCTAGTTTTATCAATGTCAAGGTTTGAACCCTCTAGGTTGGTTTTATCAATTTACTATCTAAATACACCTTTTGTTTTGTGCTATTTTTTTGTTGGCAGTAGAACTAGTAATATTTAATTCTTGTCTCTCAGATTGAGGAATACCGCAAGAAAATGGAAGATTACGAGAGACTCGCCAATTCACAGAGAAACATGTCAGCAGAGCAGGCTGATAAGGAAAGAGAAATCAAAGATCTCAAGCAAAAGTAAGTAAAGATTTTGGTTCTCATAAACCTATTAAAAACCAGATGTATTGTGTATGCTTAGATGGGTTATGTGGACAATCCAAAAAATCTGTACATTTAAAATTATTATGTTATTCCTATGGGGGATGGGACATTGTCGTTTTCTTGTTTATCTTTTATCACATTCCTAAAATTTATTAATTTTATACTATGCTTCCCTGTAGCAGCAAACTTAAGTACTAATTAAATCTAAGGTTGTGTAAAAACGTAATAAACCTGACATGTTTTAGAAAATAATTGAGTAAAAATCTAAAAAGACAAATTGGAGTTAATGTCTTCTACAGGATTGCTACGGAAGATATATTTTGTTGTTCTACTCAACAGTAATTCTACAGATATTTTTAAAATCACATTTTGTGTCTGGCCAGGCTGCAGTCCGAGGAGAGGGCTCGCAAAGTGGAGGTGTCGGAGTTGAAGATGAGATATGAGAACAGAGTGACTGTGATCTCTGATGAGCTGACCCAGGTGCAAGGACAGGTGTCCAGGTTCAAGAGGGAGAGAGATACGTTCAAACACATGCTGGAGGGAGCGCAGAAGACGATTGCAGAGTTGAAGGCTTCAGGAAACACTCCACGTAGCAGCGTCAGCTTTGATGATGTAGGTTTAGCAAAACACTTACCTTCTCAGGTAGCAATGCGTGAGCTTACTTTAGAATTACAATAGAACTCCAACTATCCAAAGTCTAATCAGCTGGATCGCCAATTATCCAAAACACATCAAAAATTAAATAATTATTAAAGTTGGTTAAAAGATAAATTTTTTTTGAAGTTTGTGGTTTGTTGTACACTTCAATGTTTGAAAATGCAGCTTTTTCTGTTTTCACTGTGATTTCTAAATGTGGGTACATTATTAAAATTGGTTTTTAACTACTTTTATGGTTATGGTGCATAACTTTTTTCCTGGAAAATCTAACTATGCAGATATTTGACTGTGCCGATTGATCGGGGTCCCAATTGAGCTCTACTGCTCTGCTGCTCTGTTGGCTCAAGGGGTTTCAAGCTCTACTGAAATTCAAATCTAAATTTTGAACTTTGAACTCCTTTAATTCTATGGGCTGTATTGTGTTTAATTTAACTCTCTCTTAAGGTTCATCCTTATTTTCTGATCTCCCTCCCATTCTCCTTCCAGGTGTCACTAAGTCATCCTCTAGTCTTACTCCCCAATGGGAGTTCTTTTTATTCCAGTCCTGGTTTTTAGGCTAAATTGTATTATTTGGCCTCCTCACTGTATCTCCAATCCATTCAAAATTCCTTGTAGTTTGTCATTTACCCTCAATGAACGAATACACAAATAGAAACCACCTCTATCTAGTAATATTGATGATTCCAATTTGTTATCAGTCGGAGGAGTATCGAGGTCAGATTACAGCCTTGGAGCAGCAGATCAGCTGTATGGAGGATGAGTTGTCAGAAGCGAGACTGGAAAGTTCTCGACTCAAGACAGAACTGGTGTCAGAGCGCTCGGCTTGGGAGATCAAGATGTCGGAGATGACCTCCAAGTTGAATGAGGTTTGTTTCTTTCTTTCTCTTAAATTTGTATATTGGTCTCAAAACCCTGTAATTGGAACTTACTAAGAAAACAAAGAATGGATTAGTACAAAAAAAATAATGAGCTGCACGGATAAATTGTAAGTGACTCTGGGAACGCTCGACATCACTGCCATGTCTTTCTAGTTTCTACCAACTGATCCACTAAGTCATCATAATACCTTCGAAAAATTTATACAACAATACAGGCTAATTTAAACCTTAAGTTGTTTGCTTGGGTCTACATTCAGTACCTTGCAAAGGAAAACAATGAAGCCGTATAATTTAAGTGGGTATGTGGGTAACATAGTAATGGCTGTATCTATAATGTCTTTCACTATGTATGCTCAAAAAGCTACAATTTGTAAACAAATTTTAATCATTATTTAAATTTTAAGTAGCCTTCACTAAAGCCAACTATAACATGTCGGTTGACAGTTGGAAGAAGACAGAATACTAAGTGGCAGAACGAAGATCGCAGGTCTAAAGTCACGGCTGGAGCTCGCGTGGCAGAAAGAAAGAGAGGATCAACAGCGGCTGCTGCAAGAAACATCAACATTAGCCCGCGACTTGCGGCAGACACTGTTCGAGGTAAGAGATAAAAATGTTTGTACATCTAGAACAGTCAAACCTTAAAAAATTGCTTTTCATTTCATCTTAGGAGAAATATTGTGTATCTAATTGGTAGTACTTTGCTAGTTCTAGACAACAAGTGGTAAGAGTGTGGCAAAACTTATGGAAAAAAAAAGAGTTTGTTTGCGTTTTTTGTGTTTGTATAGGATCTGTAAAAGAATAAAATCTGATTAAGCCTTTGGCTAAAATTACTAAATTGATCAAAAGAGTGACATAACCAAACTTTTTCTTGGAAATATAAAGGCGAGTATAACTTAACAAAAATGACTGAAAGTTATCATGTTTTGTTGTGGTATTTCCGGACTAAATATTTGACGATACAATAAAAGGTAAAAATATCTGGTTGTTGTCTTGTGGTCCCACCTTTTATTGTACTGAAAGTTATGCTTGACATAAGCTGCAACTTGGGAGTCAAGCTCAGAACTATTACACTTGGGCTCTTATTCGACCATTGTATGTGGTAGACCGTTGGTCTGGTTCATGTTGGAATACTGGCTCAGTATTATTTTACTAAAGAATTATGACCAAGTAATACATTTTCTTCTTCATTGTGATACTTTCAGTACTTGTGGTTATTTATTTTAAGTGTAGCATAAATATATTTATCTATGAATACATTTACGCAGGTCGAACGTGAAAGAGACAAGGAACGTTTGGAGTCAAAACGTAAACTTGAACAATTGAAGAAGACTGTAGAGGAGGAACAAGATGAAAACAAGAAAAAGATGACCGAGGTATTGCATACGTTAATATGAAGGATAATAATTGTAGGACCGGACAATTTTGGTTCTTACATTTTTTGGTTTTTTTTCCAAGTAATTCATTTTCCTCAACTTATGATTTCATTGATATATTTTAGCTGGTTTTGATGAAAACCAAGGAGAGAATCAATTATCCAATATTTATTTAGATGTAAAAGAATGTTTATATTTTGTTTATGGGCTGTAATTTATTTACTTTAAAAATCACCATTTTGTATCAAGTTACCGTACACATCATTTGTATCAACACTTTTTGGTTTTTAAAGATGGAATGCATTTTCTACATTTAGCAGATTGAACATTAATTAAAATTATTTCTCAACAGAATCATTGAACCCTTTTAATTGCATGTTTGTCTTATCTAGTTTTAGTACATTTCCTAATCTGTCTCTTTTACCTGCTGTATTTTTATGATTCCAGCTTTAGCTTGTTTGGTAAGATGATTATATTCAATTTGTGAAAGTGCACATTTAGGAACATTGTTGTAGTTAGTAAAAAATATACATAATTGTACAGGATTAAAACAATTCTATATGATAAATAATTGAAACATTGGAGACATTAATCTCATGGTGGAAGGAAAAAACATAGGTGTGCTATTCCCACTAATTCTGACGTCACTCGGATTGCAAACAAAAGATCACCTGATTGTAACTGTCAAATTAGTATGCATTTGTTTTGGTTTGATTGTTATTGTTTTTATAATAATAAAAACAATAACAACCAAATCAAAACAAATACATATACTAATTTGACAGTTACAATCAGGTGATCTTTTGTTTGCAATCCGAGTGACGTCAGAATTTGTGGGAATAGCACACCTATGTTTTTTCCTTCCACCATGCATTAATCTTAATTAAGTTATAAAATGTAACAAGTAAGCAAAATAAGTACAGACCTGATTTAAAATATATATTAAACAATTTCTTAGTAACTGTAGTAGGTACCTAAAACTTGATGTTTTGGATATTAAAAAAAAAAAATCTTTATTAATCATTTTTAGACGGAAGACACCTAAATATGACGAATAAGTTCATTTACATGTTCCATTCAATTCATCAATCAAAAAGCAACATAAAAATATTGATACATGTTAAATTTTGGTAATTTTCAGTTGCAAAACGATCTACTGGAATTGCGAGATGCCCATGCAAAGTTGAGGACAACCAACGAGAAGTTGAGAAGAGACAAGGAACGGTTTGAGAAGGAGAGAGAATCCTTGAAAGCAATGACTACTGCTAGAAGAAAAGCAGAAATAGATGATGACCGCAAAATAAATTCGCTACTTCAATTGGTACAGTTATTTGTTTAAAATGATCTATTAGGGGTTTCAAAATTGTTTATAGTTTTGTAAGAATTTTGTATAGTTACAATGATAATTTTTCTTCCCAGTTCACTTCACAGTATTCATCTCTTGTTGTAAATCGTTGACCAGTACAACAATACACACAACTTATACAAAGCTTTAGTTTTATCAGAAAACAGTGGAATGACGTTCTGAAACAAAAGGCTAAAATAAATTTAGAATCTAAAAGAAAAGTTAACTCAATTAATGTCATTAAATGTTAATTTGGAAGCTTAACATTTTTAAATTTGAAAACATTTTTTTGGATTCAATTTGGAATGGTTATCCAGAACTGCTAATACTGATGTCCTTCTTTCAGCCTACTCAGGTTGATATATCCTTTTCTTTCATATGCTCTGCCGATTTGGGGTGCTGAAAATCGAAGATCACTTTTCTTGTTTAGGCTTTAGAAGAATGCAGTAAGAACCATTTTCTCTCTCCCACGTCGCCATTCTTGCAAGGAGGTTTGCAGCTCATCTGGAATTTTAACCTTTCCCTTTATCTACGTCCTTGAGACGCTGTCATTTGTCAGGCAAAACCTTTCCAAGTTTCATGTCGACTCTCATTCCTGCATTTATCCCTTGCGCTCTGCAATCAAACTGTAAAATTCCCAAACACTCCACGTCCTTTTTTAAAGGTCTCCTCTTGTACAACGGAATTAAACTTTTCAATAGTCTACTCATTGATCTTAATTTAGAGAAAGACCACCTTAGATTCAAGAGAAAACTTAAGTATATGTTGCTTTCAAGATGTTGCTACAGCGTCTGTGAATTTCTGGCTGGCGGTTAAAGATTTCTATCCTTTAATTTTATTTATTGTATGAGGGTATATATACATTTTAAGTTGCTGCTTTGTATTCAGTATATTGTATTGAATTGTATTCACATAGCTAATGCAAATTGTATTTGTCAATTTGGCAAATAAATTACATATAGACTTATAGTATCATTATTTGTAATTGCATTTTGTACCATTGATTATTATTTTTTCTCAACCGATCAACCATAGTTTTTTTTCAGAATAGTCTAAACAGCTTCTATAGTTAAATTGTGATTTTTCATACTCATTTTGGACTTTGAACTATTTACAGGTAGACGAGCTGATGAGGCTAGCCCCGGATCTTTTCCCGAGCAAGTCAGAACCTGTTAATGTGGCTCAACCTACTCCACCTGCACGTAGAAAAGTATATATTACAGTATATACAGCATATTTCAGTATATATTAACAGATAACTTTGTTGATAAATATATGTTTACAACTTTGTCATATTGACTAGCCATGTAACGTCATAATAAGTCTACTCAATTCATATATTATTTGAATCATCTTCCTGGTTTAAAAATTATGGTATTGGCAGGAGGGGGGATCATTATGCAGTATTAAACTCTACTAAACCAATAATGTAGTCTAAGATTATAAACATATTTTTTGTCTGTTGAAGTACAGTATTAGATTATTTTACCAAACAAATGCCTTGTTTAGGCAAGTTGGTGCAAAATTGTTACTATACTGTATAAAATGATGCATGGTTTTATACTTTGATTTAATTTTGTATATGTTTAGTTTTTATAGTTTTTGTGAATTTCCCATTTAATAAGCTATTACCGTAGGTCTCATGGTAAGACCTACACCCGGGACCGATTTACTTTTTGTTTTGAGGTCCCCAGAGGCCAAAAACATCCTCCGTTCAAATTCATATATATACCAACGTATAAACTTACGTTATTTTCTATACTTGTATTAGAACTCCATGCTTTAAAATTTTTTGAAGCTATTTTAAAAGATGAAGGTAATTTACATCCCCCAATTTAAATTTCATATAGCTTCTCTCCTTTTAACTGTCTATCACCAATGGTTTATTTAGATATTTCTTACTAAAGATAATAGTGGAAGATTTTAATAAGTGTTTATTTATCAAAAATAAAAAGTATTAATTTGTATTTCAGGGTTCAAAATCCAGAGAAACGTCACCGATGGTAGAGAGAAGGGACCTCAGCAAAGGTAATTCGTTAGTTTTATAACAAATATACATAAATACATATTTTAACTTTTAACTAAACATTAATGTTATGTATGTGATCAATTTTTTTTTTTAATTACCAAGGATTGAAAACAACAAATGATGTATTAGTGGTTTAGTATTCTTGAAATTTGAAAAAATATCAGAGGAGCTGTTTCTGATTCTTTCCAATTACAATCAGTTTTATAAAGACCCTAGAGTTAGTAACTAAAATTATACAGGTAGTTTTTGCCTTACACTGTATATGGATCGAGAATTATTTAGAGACTGTTGTTGTCAGTGAAGAATCGTTTCCTCAGTCCCTTTTAACAGAAGTTATGCTTAATGTGTTGTTTCAAACATAGATTAAATTAATATTTTAAAGGTGGGTTATTTATTTTTACTACATACTGGAAAGTATTACCAAAAGATATCACGAATATGCAGAATTACGCAAACAAAGAGCGTTAATAACAGAAGCTATTGGTTTTTATAATTTTGCTTTTACAAAAATAAATTGCTTAACATTCTCACTGTCCAACATATTTCCTTTTATTGTAGAGTCATCCCCAGCAGTGGGCGGCAAGTCAGAGCAGATGCAGATCGTCTTGAGTCGTTTGACGGAGGCGACACAGGAGTTGAGACGCAGCCAACGAGCGGCCGAGGAGAGAGACAGGGAGAGAGCACGACGAGCCTTTGCTGCCAGGAGGTAAATGTTCAACTATAATAATATTACCAATTAAGATTAGGTCATAACAGGAACACAACTGGACACAAACGGAATATGGATGAAGGATGAGTGGCTGAAAAAGTAGCGAAATTGCTATCTCTTTGGGTTGAACAGACAACCTTTTGAATAGCGAGTGAGCACTATATGCTGTCCATCCAGCTATTTCATCTATTGTGTCTAAGATCTAATAACTATTGAGTGTGATTCTTAGCCTAGACTATTTATTAAAATGCCAATCATTAAGGGGAACAAACTCAAACCATCAAAAGGTTGCTTATTTTTGTCATGATAAAAATGATTACTAGGCAAGTATTGTGTCCTTAGATTATAATATATATATATAAATATATATATATATATATATATTTCCTAAACAACGTTGTATGTTTAGAGCGGGATCGACAGACTCCGATGCGTCTGGTAGTGTTTCTATGAGTGTAGCGGCTGGGGGAGCGAAGCGCAAGGGAAGTCTTTACCGCAAGAGTCTCTCTCTGGAGCAGACATCTGCATTGTCCGCAGTTCAAGACAAGGTAAAAATAAGTAAATAAGTTCTTATTCATGAGCGCATTTCAGTTACATCACGGTTTTACAAATTGACTCAAGTCAGGACTTAAACTAAACAAAAACTCTTAACACTACAAAACAAAATAAGATTAATTACAAATTCTTTAGGGGATTCTTAAAATTTTTGTAAGACAGTGCTTTTAATGTGCAAGAAAGTGCATTGTTCTGAGCCGGCCCTAAGTAAGAAAAAACCCTTCTACCAGCATCAATATCAACCCTAGGTGTGTCAAGCAACAAGTCCTGCCTAGATCTGTGCTCTCTCATTGCCTACTTCACTTTCAGTTTTTCCTTCAGGTACTGCGGTGCCTTAGTGACCAGTGTTTTGTGGACAATACATGCAACCTGCTTATCACAGCTCTCCCGGACGGACATTGTATTTGACATCCTACATTGACTTGTGATATGATCATATTTTTTAAGTTGTATACGAACCTTAGGAAGATATTCTGTAGCCTGTGAAGTATTATGATCTGTTCCTGTGTTAAACTGTACCTCAACATGATAACATACATAACATACATGTTTATGATACCTCAACTTGATTTTTGCTGGGAGTAATGTTCTAAACCCATTAAGCACTTTTAATTTTCCAACAACACATTTGCTTATCTGTTTGTCATAGTTAGAAAAAGTCAGCTGTGAGGTCAGCTGTGAGTCTATTGTCACCCCAAGAATCTTAATGCTTTTGGAAATTGATAGCTCTGAATTATTAACTGTGACTTTGATGCTGTGTTTTTCCAGCTGCTCATAAATTGCTGCATTGGCAAAGAGTGGAATATTTTCAGGGTTTAGTTTTAACCCATGATCCCTAGACCAAAGTAGGCTGGTATAATAAGAGTTGGCAGTCATCAGCGTAAGAATACATAATCCCGAAATCCAATACTGATTCAATGCCTACTATACACAGATAAACAAGACAGGACCGAGGTATTGCCTAGGGGACTAAAAGTTGTTTAAATAAGTTTTGGAATGATGAGAGTTATTATAGTATATGTATCCTCACTAGGACTAAAGTGACTCTTTTTGGCCCTAGCTTAAAAGTTTAAAACTCAGGCAAAGCCAAGGAATAAAAATAAGAGAAGGTTTTAAAGACACTTTTCCTCATGTGGATGGGCAAATGCAAGGTTGATAGAGACCACAAACCTCTTTAAAAAATCATATCCCGTAATTATAGTAATCTAGGTTGAGGTAGAAAAATATTCATAATATAAGTAAGACATTATGGTGAAATTTATAATTTATAAACGCCTGAAGAAATAATTTCTAAAGCAAATACCTCTGTATGTGACAATAAATACTATTCAAGAGAGGATGTAAATAAGCATTGTTTCATTGCATATCACTCTGAACTTAATACCCGCTCATAATAACAGTAAATGTTTATTTTGATCAAATGTGTACAGAAAATGTTACAGAAGAAGTCTAGCAGTTTTCAGAAAGTTTTGGGAAATTTTCCCTAGTCAGATTATACGAGTAGGTTATGAATTAATTTATGAATCTTGTAGTCTTCAGTTGCAAGAAATATGATTGGCTTACTTTAAATAGATGTAATCGGTAGAACTTTAAGTTCATACATTTTAAGAGTATCTCTCTTCAAATATAATGTCTCTGACATTTTAATTCAAAAACCACCATATTCTGTTCGATAACATACATAGGTTAGTGAGAATTCAGTTGGGTCTATTTTCCGATTATTACAAGTCAAACATTTTTGTTTTAGATATGGAAGGACGACAGAGAAGGAAGTTTAACAAGTATGCAATCACTGGATGATACAGAATCCAAATATGCAAATATTCAAAGACGAGACCCAAGTCTAGACAGGTAAGGTCACATGCAAAAGCAATATCAATTTCTGATGGAGGCATTTTAGTTTTTATAGAAATTTGGTCATTTTACTATTGTAGGAATTGTGTTTTAGCAACAGAAAATTACAATTGACTTTGTAAAGATACAATTAAGAAACATTCTTAAATTTATCTCTAGCTTATGAAATACATACTTAGCCAAATGGATGTATTATTAATAAGATACAAAAATCTTCTATATTAAAGAACGAAATAAAATTTGTCATGTTAACTAAAAGTAACTTTAATGTTGGGTTAACTTAAAGTAAATACATTAAATGAAAGGATTTTTTACTGAGCAGGCTGCCTACTAGTTCAATAGTACTATAGTCCTCACCAACCTAACTTGAGGCAGCCCAAGGCCGCAATAGATATATGGTGCGGCCTTGGGCTGCCTCAAGTAAGGGTGGCGAGGACTATAAGAACTCTGAATTACTTTTATTTAAAAAGTTATCTAAAGTGTAAAATGCCTTGATTACCGTAAACATTTTGATGGTTGGTTGGGATTTGAACGAGTTCATAATGAGAGTTTGGGAGTTTAACGAAATTTGATTTTAAACGAAGCATTACTCCTAAAATTTGTTAAAACCCCGTCCCTGTCCTGAGAGAGATAAAAAAATGCTTTTATTTTCCTTTTATTTCTTGTAGAAAATGGCTGATTATTTGATTGGATAATCTCGGGGGAAATAACGTTGATTGGATACTCCTTTAACTTTGGGATTCCAATTTACACCAGTGATGTGTATTTGGGATCAGAGGGGATAGTACAGTGCAATTAGCTTAAAAAAAGAGCAAACCGGGACATCCAAAAAAAAAGTTTCAAACCAGTGCCAAATTGTTGAATACACTTCCCTCAATATGTAAAAAAAAGTTACACTGTTTTGAGTGTCGGGTTTGGGGGGGAGGGGGTGAAAATAGGATGAAAATAGGACTTTTTTTACTTTTTTGCAAATACCTCAAAAACGGTGAGTTTTTCTTTAAATACAATGAATTACAAAAATAATCTACATTAAATTTCGAACAAAATGATACCATACAATACCTATCTACTATGAACGGTTCCGGAAATATTGGGGGGTAAATTTGATTTTTTCTAAAAATTCTTAAAAAAAATTGTTTTTAAATGGAGAAAAACCATGGACACTCATAAAAAAAGTTTCTAATGAGTGCCAAATTGTTCAATATTCCTCCCTTAATATGTGTAAAAAAGTTACACTGATTTGAGTGTCGGATTTGGGAAGTAGGGTTTAAAGAAAATGGGGTGAAAATAGGACTTTTTTTACTTTTTTGCAAATACCTCAAAAATGGTGAGTTTTTCTTAAAATACAATGAATTACAAAAATAATCTAAATTAAATTTAGAACAAGATGATATCATTCAATACCTATCTACCATTTACGGGTAAGGAGATATTGAGGGGTAAATGTGATTTTCTTCTTTTAATTCTAAAAAAGTTGTTTTTTTTAATTCATGAAAACTATGGATACCCATAAAAATCTCCTAATGAGTGCTAATTTATTCAATAGACCTCCCTTAATATGTGTAATAAAGTTACACTGATTTGAGTCTCTGATTTGGTAGGAGAGCTTTTCAAAAAGGGAGGCTCGTAAGGGGTGCTTTTTTATATAATGAATTAAAAAAAAATCTTTATTGAATTTCAAACACAATCATATTTACAATACCTATCAACTATGAACGGTTGTAAAAATTTCAACTACATTCTAATAAAATAATAAAATACGATAAAAACATTGATTTCCTTGTAAAAAAAATTGCCACCATTTTCCAAAATGGCAGCTAACTTTAATATTGGAACCTTCTGTATTTCATGGTCTGTTTAAGATATAAATGCGATTTTAATTTTTTTTTGTTCTTTGCATATTCTCTATAAACTTATTCGTATATGAGCTACAGGATGCGGAATGTATACAGCAAGCCTTTTTTCCTTAAGTGTAACATGTTACGTTGTAACTCCTAAATGAGTAGTTTTCAAGAGAAAATGTCAAAATTAAAAATGTCTTAAAATTGCATTTGAATTATAAAACAATCATAAACCACAGGGTGTTCCATAAGAAATAACAAAGTTTTCAGCCATATTGGAAAATGGCAAACATATTTTTAAAATTGGAAATCATACCAAAAAACATCTAAAAAGTAAAGGGGAGTGCTCCATAAGAAGTCAACTCTATAACTCATAATAAAAAAAGGTGAGTTTCAACGCTATTGGTTCACTTTACGTGAGACATCCTACAGGGTGTCCCGTAAGAACAGCCAAACTCCAGAAAATGGTTCTATGGGTCAAAATAATAAGAAAATAAAAAAAAATATTTCCCAAAATCACTTCGTTAACTCATTTTCGATCACTTCGGTAGATATTTGTCATTTTGTTTTTTTACACATAAACAGTATTTTATCTTTGAATTTTTTAACCGATCATTATGTAACTTGGTATGTATGTTGAGGTAAAATAGACTCTCGTTAGAAAAGAATGATCTTAATCCAATTAAAAATTTCAAAATGGCGGCCATTTAAATTTTTTTAAATTGAAATTGCAAAAAATGACTAATTTTATGAGACTTTTATGAACTTCATTTAGCTTTTAAAATGATGAAAATAATAAAAAAAATAAATGAAATATCACGATTTTTAGTTGTAAAATGAGGCAAACCTGAATAGCGAAGCCTTGATCTTAATAATTTTACAACTAAAAATAGTTATAATTTAGTTATTTTTATTCAATCTTATTGAGCTTGGTGAGGGAATTTTAAAACCTAAATAAAAGTTTTCATTACATTTTTCATAAAAATAGCCTTTTTTGCAATTTAAATTTAAAATATTTAAATGGCCACCATTTTAAAATTCTTTATTGGATTAAGATAATTTATGGGTGTCCATGGGTTTTCTCCATTTAAAAAACAATTTTTGTAGAATTTTAAGAAAAAATCACATTTACCCCTCAATATCTCCTGAACCAATTATTGTAGATAGGTATTGTATGGTACCATTTTGTTCGAAGTTTAATGTAGATTATTTTTGTAATTCATTGTATTTTAAGAAAAACTAGCCGTTTTTGAGGTATTTGCAAAAAAGTAAAAAAAGTCCTATTTTCACCACATTTTCTTTAAACCCTACTTCCCAAATCCGTCACTCAAATCAGTGTAACTTTTTTACACATATTAAGGGAGGTCTATTGAACAATTTGGCACTCATTAGAAACCTTTTCTATGGTTGTCCATGGTTTTTCTCCATTTAAAAAACAATTTTTTTAGAATTTTAAGAAAAAATCACATTTACCCCCCAAAATTTCCTGAACCGTTCATAGTAGATAGGTATTGTATGGTATCATTTTGTTTGAAATTTAATGTAGATTATTTTTGTAATTCGTTGTATTTTAAGAAAAACTCGCCGTTTTTGAGGTATTTGCAAAAAAGTAAAAAAAAGTCCTATTTTCACCCCATTTTCTTTCAACCCTACTTCCCAAATCCGTCACTCAAATCAGTGTAACTTTTTTACACATATTAAGGGAGGTCTATTGAACAATTTGGCACTCATTAGAAACCTTTTCTATGGGTGTCCATGGTTTTTCTCCATTTAAAAAACAATTTTTTTAGAATTTTAAGAAAAAATCACATTTACCCCCCAAAATTTCCTGAACCGTTCATAGTAGATAGGTATTGTATGGTATCATTTTGTTTGAAATTTAATGTAGATTATTTTTGTAATTCGTTGTATTTTAAGAAAAACTCGCCGTTTTTGAGGTATTTGCAAAAAAGTAAAAAAAGTCCTATTTTCACCCCATTTTCTTTAAACCCTACTTCCCAAATCCGACACTCAAATCAGTGTAACTTTTTTACACATATTAAGGGAGGTATATTGAACAATTTGGCACTCAATAGAAACTTTTTTATGGGTGTCCATGGGTTTTCTCCATTTAAAAAACAATTTTTTTAGAATTTTAAGAAAAAATCACATTTACCCCTCAATATCTCCTGAACCGTTCATTGTAGATAGGTATTGAATGGTATCATTTTGTTCGAAATTTAATGTAGATTATTTTTGTAATTCATTGTATTTAAAAAAAATTCACCGTTTTTGAGGTATTTGCAAAAAAGTAAAAAAAGTCGTATTTTCACCCCATTTTCACCCCCTCCCCCCCAAACCCGACACTCAAATCAGTGTAACTTTTATTTACATATTGAGGGAAGTGTATTCAACAATTTGGCGCTGGTTTGAAACTTTTTTTTTGGATGTCCCGGTTTAGGTCTAATTGCACCGTACTAGGATGGTAAAAGTTAAAACCAAATAATATTTATAAGGAAATTTTATTTTCAGCCGACTATCTGGTGGCTCGACCCAAAGTGAAGTTCTTCCATCCGACAAGAAACAGAAGAAGGGTTTGTTTGGAAAGCTGAAAAAGCTAACAAAATCTTCTAGGAGCGTAGATCATGATCGAGAATACGCCCTTAGTGAGGTATGTTTAATCAGTTGTTTACTGGTTTTGTTTTGTAATTCATTAAGTTCTTCTTTTGGGCACTAAAATAACTGTACTGTACTGTAATATATACAGTAATGTTTACTTTTCAATTAGATTATTTTCTGACAAATGAGCCGAATATTAAGTTGGACACATTTCTGATACAGTAAGAGCAATAATCAGTTTTACCTTAGATTCAAATCCGGAATAAACAGATTTTAAAAAGTCATTTTTTTACCTTTCAAAGCTTCAGATTCAGAATGAAAGTCATAAAATGAATTATAGGACCTTAAAGTTTGTGAATAAAACACATTTGGAAACAGCTACCATACCCACAACCTTTGTTTTTTACTATAATAACGAAACTTCACTTTTTATGAAAATAGTACTTGTTTAGCGGAGGAGGATGAGGAGTTTTTGTTATTGCTCTTCAAACTGTCATATCATTATTCCTAGACAATTGCTCTGTAATGTTTCACTTTTTAGACTAATCTAAAATGCATCTAAAATGTAGACATACACTGGGCTTTAACATGAATAAACCTCTGTGTTGGCAATTTTAAAATTAACCTTTGTGTAAAATTTCACCCCAATCCAGTAGTTTTTGCATTCACCAAAAACAAACAGATTTTTTGTAACTTGACTAGCCCTCACGGTAGACTTATGATCTGTGTAGGGATCTAAAGAGGGTGTGTTGTTTGTGTATGAATAGGCAATCAAGTGGTGACTGCAATGTCAAGTTAAGGTCGGTAGTTAGTCTCAAACTGACAATGATTTTTATCACACTCATATAATGTTTATCTCTTTTGGTTTTTGTCTATTTATTTTAATTTTTCCACATACTTTTTGTCTGTTATAACTCTATGTACTAGCTTAAGAATAATGATACTATTCATTCTATGATGTAATTATTATGTAAAATAAATAGTTTGAAATAAAATGAGAAAAGTTGCTACCTCTGAGCAGGGCTGCTTTTGTAACTGATGGGCCCGGGCCGAGGGACGGAAGAAGTTTCTGATTTGTTGGGGCCACAAGGGAGATAAAGATTCCCCTACAATGTACGTAGAGAGAGGAGAAATCGTCTCTCAGGCCCATAGCGCATCACATGCGAACTCCAGGCATGCCACTGAACAACCAAGTTCAGTAAGTTGCGCAGGTACACAGATATATAGGCAGAAACCATGTCTACTTCATAGATCTCTAAATCCAAGTCTACCCCTATATACCTGAATCCAAAATAAGACTTAATTACCTCTGTTAATGGCTTGCTATTTTGATTACAGACGGATAGAGGGTCGGACACCAGTCTAGGGTCTATAGGAGTTGATGATCCTCGAGGAAGCAAAAGTAACCTGAAAGACAGAATTGTCGATATATTCAAGAAATCGGGGTCCACTTCTAGAGCTGGCAGGTGAGTAAAAACGCTAAACCTTTGACTATTGATTGACCATTTGAATTTTGACGCCAACTTTTTCATCAAGTTAAACTGATAAGTCAACTTATAAGGTCAGTGATCCACAAGAAACATATCCGATGCCGACATTCATAGCCAGATGACTGAAACTTATTGCATTTTAAAACATTTTTTTCCTTTGTGGCCTTTTTCAAAAGTTCTGGGTACCTGCCAAAAACACAATTCATTCCAGAATAGACATTTTCACGGTCATTTTTAAACTCTCTAACTCATTTCAGCTCTTTATCCTTACTCATTGCATTAGGGTCATAAACTTCAGTCATCTTGCAATGAATGTCTGCAGCTTGCATGTTTCTTGTAGTAAAAAAACATCCACTGACCTTATCTCGCATGTGGCGGGTGATTTAATAATTTACAAATGTCTAGACGCCCAGCAAAGTGTACATGAATGCTACAGAGCTGCAAAGGGTGTGGTTCTGTTAGGAAATGATGCCAGTAAGCGAAAAGGAGCCTGGTTCTGCAGTTAAATGCAAACTAAGGTACTTTATACACAAACAGGCCTTACTTAAAAAACTACCCTTGTACACGCTTGGTCACGTTTAGTTAAGTAATTTGGTTGCAGTATGGAGCGAGGAGCTAAGCCTCCATTGCCTAGTCAGCCTGACGTTGGTTCTGACTCGACCCAACGACCTCTGCGAGCCACAAGTATGACCAGAACAGAGCCTTCGCCTGCCGTAAGTTGACTCCACAAACATTTTATTTATCATAAATATTAAGCCATAGTAAGGTTTTGTTTGATTATAACAGTTAGAAAACATGTGTTGAAAAATCTCCTCAAACTGTCTAAATGTTGTGAATGCACTATTATATGTTATTGTAATGTATAATCTTAATATCAATACAAATGTGCTCATAACAATACAATTTTCCTTACAAGTGCTAACCATATTCATATATTCTTTAGCGGAGTGATGTGAGTCAATCATCGGTTTCGTCTCGACCCGCAGCAACACCTTCCGCAGTCAAACGTCCTCCAGGCAGTGCTCCTCTGCTGCGGAAAACTGCAGCCAAGAAATAAACCTTGTGTTTCACCACATCCCAGCCCACCAGTGTTCAACCCTTCATGTATATAGTCCTCACTCATACATTGTACAGTTTTATAAAAGTGCCTTGACGATATTTTTGAGAAAGGGCGATGATTGTGAATATTAAAGACAGTTAGACATACCTGCGGTTTTATTTCAATTCTTGGTCTTGTCAAAATAAATTTGCAGATAAATTTTGTTACTTTTGATCACTTGAGCTGAAAATGTGTTGGAGATGATTTATTTGAAACTCATTATAAATTTTGGAGGGTGTGGTTATGTTTATCTTATTTGGTGAATCAAACTCGAGTGTGTGGCTGGTCTCTGGGAAAAATCATCTCACCGACTTTTAAGATATGTTATGTGGTTACAACGTGACTTGACATAACCCTTTGTTTAGAAGCCCACCTTAAACACTTAGAGAAAACCAAAATAGATAGGGTTTTCAGGTGAATTTGTTGTATTGAAGAACCAACAGTTGAGCAATAATAAGAATCTGCAATGTATGTCTCATCTTATGGGCCTTCTATTATAGAACATACCGGTCCAGTACATAACAAATACTTATAGCACTGTTGTCTTAGAATATAATTTGTAGTAAATTAAATTACTAAATTTATTTGGATTTTTTTTAGTAAAACACTACCGGTATTTTGAGACTTAGGTTGGTCATAGCCGGTTTCAGAATCTATCAATTTTTTTGCCTTGATTACGTTCAATTAGTCTCAGCCTAGCATTTCTTAGCAAAGGTGAATTGTCTGGCAGTGGATTTGATTGATTTATGTCGATACCAAAAGAATCAATTTGTAAAAAAAAAACTCAGTTTCAAATCAACTTTTATTTCTAATGATTTATAACAAAACAGAACAACGTTGGTTGGAAAAGTACCAATAAATAAATACACAAGAATAAATAGACTTAATAGTAAAATCACAATTGTTATCATTTGGCAAGAGTTGGCAATGTACAGATGATGTGGCATAGGTAGTTAATGAGCTCTAGAAGAGTGTGTAGGAGAAATGATTTTACATGTCAGGAAACATTTCTTTGTAGGGAATCTTCTCCAGGAGTTTTGTTCCGATTGCTTTCATAAGTTGGCTCCAAGATTTCTCCATTGATGGCTTCAGTTGCTTGAGAACCTCCTCCCAGTTTTCATTCAGAAAGGTGTTGATGGTTGTGCCTGTGAACACATAATTTTGTTTTGAAAATTACTTGACTTGTCCCACTTCTTGTGACCATTCTACCTACTAGAACAGAACAGGACTGATTAAATATAAGGGACAGAAGATATCTCTCCATCATCTTATGTGCATTTTATTTTCAACCTTATAGCAGTGTTGTCTTGGAAAATAGTTTATAGTAAATAGTTAAATTTATTTAGATTTTTAAAATTTTTAATGAAAGAAAAAACTATATTCAGCCTTAGGTTGGCATGATAATAAATTATTATCTTATTTTCATGATTCAATTACTCGACTTGCCTGTGGCTTTATCCAAACGATTATTTACAAAACGCTTCTTCCACATTTTCAGTACTTACCCAGTTCCTTATTTCCATTGAAAAGGTTATCCAAATGGATCTTCATGACTTTGGGTGCAAAGTTTGCCTTGAACTCTGTGATCTCCATGTACTGCTTGCCTTTCCTTGTGACAGGCTTGCCCTTCACATCCCACCATACCTGCAGGTCCTCTGTAGCGAGAGAATCCAACTTAGCAACATTCCGGTAGTGAACAGAAATTATAGTGAAAAAGAAATTTTGGGACTTTTCATGAAGGGGGTTTTTACCTCTGGGTCACTTACATTATGATGTGAAAATTTGTATTGGCGATTAACAAAATTTGAACCTATGCCTCTAGTACACAAGTCCTACACTTCAAACTAAGTCCCAGAGATATTGGTCATAACTGGATAGTTCAGTGATTGATTACCGACTTGTTATATTGTAATTACATTGATTGATTACTGATTACAGCTGGTCTTTGTCAATATCAAAGCGACACAGATCATCTCACTCCATTCTATACTTCTACACCCTGTCGTAATGAATAATGACAGGGACTAGGGGTGTTAGTATAATAGACCCTATATACTTCAGAAAGAGGAAATCACAATGTATATTGAGGTATTAAGATTTTATGGATGTGCTTGTAATTAATAACCTCAAATCCCATCTGCCATGATAGGTGTGTACATCAATATTGCAAACAATGGCAATCCTAATAATCCTAGCCTTTAAAGGTATTTTAATCCTCCCTAGAAAACTTGTTGTCTCTACAAATACAACTAGTCTTAACAGAGTAAAAATATCCCAAACAATCAAATTGATGGGTTTAAAGTTTTTTTCACAATTAATAGCCTATTATGTCAAGAATTATGTGTTATTTTATACTACAACTAAAAACTAATTGGTGATATCCCTGGTGATAACATGATGTACAAGTTGTATAATGTGTAACTTTACCTAAAGTGATATCTGCGTTTCCAACTCCTTGCATCGGCAAATTTGCGATCTTGGCATTCATGTCATATTTTCCCTTTATAGAGTATTTTGGAATGGTCATGTTCATCATGAACGTATAGTGTTGTGGGTCCGCACTGAAAAATATAATGGTAAGATTTAATGTCATTGTATTGTATACATAGTAATAGAAAATCTTATCCAAAAACCCACTACAGGGTCCTTTAGTAAATTGGCCCAGGCCCAGGCGTGCAATTGGTTTAGGTTTGTTGGGGGCATAAGGAAGAGTATAAAATTCCCTTGCAAGAATGGAGGGAGGGGTTTCAAATATCTCTTGGGTTCTAGCGTTCTAACCACAGGCCAGGAGCCGTAAATCTAAAAACAAATTACTATGAAAACAAACATACACACATAATTAAATGAAATTAAGAGGGAACATAAAATAAATACTGTACCGGTATTGCTTTCTAACTATATTCGTAAAATTCAAATAGGTAAAATGTAATTTTTTTACTCTACTAAATAGTATCTCAGGGTATCTTGATAATAACTCTACTTTGAGTTGTTTCATGATTGAAAGTGTCCCAGAACATTGACCAGAGGTTAAAGAAATTTTCACCACACTATGATGTTTTTGGCTGTATTACATACGTTAATTGGTGGCCGAAAGTTACGTATTGCTGGCCATGCCAGCTGTCATCGTAATTTGGGGACCGAGCAGGTTTTTACAGGCCGGGGCCGCAAAATCAGCTGTCCGCTTACTTACTTAAAACATGAATGCATTTTAAATACACAATCAAAATCCATAGCATTGCAATAGAATTGTGTTATTGTCACCGTTGCCTAGCAACTATTTATTTTTATTTTTGCTGATTCCTCAAATTATTTCTTCACATAACCTTAAAGTTGTAGTTGTGTTGACTATCAGTGTGCATTATTATAGTGGTGAATAGTGGTAATAGGGTATAGTGTGGTGAAAAATAGCGTTCGTACCACGGACCGAAATGGTTTTGCAGCTCTCGATCGATTTAAGTTCTCGACTTCGTCTCGAACTTAAAAACTATCTCGAGCCGGCAAAACCTCATTTTCGGCCCTAGGTACGAAATATACTATTAAAGGTACATTTTTCAATTACCGTCATAGACTCTACTCCAAGCTCTTTGTGTATATGAAGTCTTATTTTGGTCAAGATGTCTATAGGCAGGGTTTTTAGAAATGTTGTAATAATCGATAGGTTTAGCAGCAGGCTTACCTAACTTGAAGTGTTTATTTGTGCATTTCCATCTATTTCTGTGAGTATAAGTAAGTCTGCTGTTATATCTATCCATTGTCCATTACAAAATCTTAGTGAATATGTTTTTTTCTTATGAAATCATTCACCACTATTCTGAGAATTTGTTTTGGATCACTTGAATTATAAAAGTTTACTTTTTGATATAATCCCAGTAGATGCATTATGTTATCAATGTCTGAAAACCTTTGCAAATCCAATCATACACAACAATGGTTGAATTGTAAGTACTCTTGGTCGGATGTAGTAGAGAGAGCCAGAGAGTAAGTCAAAATACAACTTACTCCGCACTGCTTATGACAGCGTCTCCGAGCCCGCGGTGAGTAGCGTCTGACATCTCCAGTCGCATGTGTTGTCCCAAGTTAAACACCGTCATCTTCTTCACTTCCAGCGGGTCCAACACCGGCAAGTTGAGGCTCTTGTCACCTGTAGCACAAACACAGCAGTTGTAGTACAACCATAGATAAAAGGAACTCCTTTTATCTATGGTACAACTGGAAACACTAAGCTAATCTTTGTTGAAAGAGTTTAGGAAGAAATCCTTCTGCCTACACGGTTTTCCTTGATTCGGCTTTTGATATATAAATAGGCCAGGTTAAAAAAAAACCAGCTGATCTTAGTAAGAAAGCGCTTAGGTCATTTCACTTTATTCTTCACTATTCTGATTTCATGTTCTACTTCAAATCACATACATTTAAGTGTTTAAGCATAGACTAATCAACCACAAGTAGACTTCTCATTCCATTCCATTGTAAATTTTGATTTTGTTTTTCGTGTCTAGTTCATGTCCAGTGACAGTGGTGTCTAGTGTTGACAAAATTTTGTTTATATTATTTTAGGGTTCATTTCATGGTTTGTGCTTTATTGTTTGGTTATACAACTAGGGCAGAGTTATTGTTTATGATTATATAGCTTTATTAGGTTAAATGAGGTTTTAAATGGCTGAAATAACAAGAAACAAATCGTAAACAGAAAACGACATCTACAGTGCACCAGACAGAACTAACAATAAAATTGGCGTTAGCTGTTCCATAAGGGTGGGAAACCTACTAAGGGAGTATGTTTTATCTATGGTAGTATGACCATATTTTGAGTTCCTGTCAACCATACATCACTTGGGGTAACATACATTTAACACCAAGGAGACACAAAATAATTTATATAGCTTATCTTGTTATGTGAACAACAAACTAAAAGTTAGAGTGAAAATCGTGTTTGCCAATACATGACAAAAACAACTCAATCAGAATCAGAGAAAATATTGTACACCAAATTTTGTATAACTCAATGTACGGATGGAAAATAAAATTGTTAAGAGACAATATTTTATCTCATATAAAGGTTTCTGTCTTTAACTTACCTTTGTGTAACATCTTAAATAAGTGATTTCCAGATTCGATGAAACATTCTTTGAAGGAATTTTCTTTTGTTTTGCACCCATGATGATGATCTGTAACAGTTTGAGGAATTAAAATATTGTCAAGCCAGTCAAGCACTATGGTACAGTCAGTAGGTAAAATCATAGTTTACTTGTTTGTTGGACAAAAGATTTCAAAATTTTAATATTAAGTTGTATGTAACAATTAAATGTATGACATTTTGATGGTAAAAATATAATTGTTAAATACTTCAGAACAAGAAAATTGTAGATTCTATTGATGGCTAGAATTTGTTTATTGAAGAATTTAAACTTTAATGTATAAAAAACATGCGAAAACCACTTTTTTCCAATTAGACAAGAGTTACATTATATTTTGGATATTATTTACATTGTAAGATTTTGGCAGTTTAGTTGTTAATATAATTACTAAAATTACTCCTAACCAAACCGGTCGCGATAGTTCATTCCATGACCGCTATCGGTGCTATCGCTAGGAGTGTTGTTATGTGGTACAGTTCTTGTAGCAGGTACTGTTCGTGACACATCCATCCGGTTTCCGGTCCACCCACAGCCACAGCCTTCCAAACATCTAAAGGTCATTGCCACTGCCATCATGATATACGCGAGGCGAGCTAGTCCATTTTGTTAATGTTACATCAATGAATATACTTTTCGATTGATGGTTATAATGTTCTACCAATGAGTATAATTAACCTGCGAATTTCCTATAGCACTGAAAAATTATTTCGATATTTTCTATTTAGTTTAACAGAGCATCGCTTCGTTCGAGGCATTATCATTGGCTATAGATAACAACTCGATAATATATTCTATTGAATAATGGTGTGGTTCATTGTTTTAATGGTTGATTAATCAAGCATGGCCTGTATTAGTTGTTTTATGGTGGATTCTTCTCTGGACTAATTATTCATAATTTTGAATGTTTTAAAATATTGTGATTAACTTAAAATATCGTATAATTATTATACATGCGTAGGCCTAAAATTATATACAGTTGAGATCATATAAAAACAACGGAGTTATCTATATAACAGGCATCGTGTGCATCGTAGGGAAGATCTATGCATACTGTTAGAAAGACATTTGCCTTTAGATGTGCAGAATATAAATTAAAATAGACACCAAAATAAGCAAAAAATGAATTTAAAATAAAAAAATTAACTTGGGCCTTATGGGTTGCCATTCTGGTGACGAAATATAAACAGAAAATCAAAACAAACGGAAGGAATTCCAATCACATATTTTCTTTACAGCGTGGGGGTGAAAATAGAGAAGTCTGTACATTACATATTTTTGGTCGAGTTTTCGACCATTTCGACCTCCACTAATTATAATTTTTCGTCATTGCTAAGAATATCTTGCTGGTTCTTCATTTTACAAACAGTCATATGCGCAATATAAATAATAAAGTATCAAAATTAGCTTATTTTATGTTGTTAATTTTTTGTATACATGATTTTATTCGTAAGGACGACCTTCATATTATGAAGCCACATTTTGGACCTGAAATATTGGATTTTAGTCAAATATAGCCATTTTAAAAGTATTAGTATTTAACAACATTCCGCATTGCATAAATGCAAATATACGCACCAATTTATTTTATTGCAATCAAAAGTCTAAAACTACATTTTAAAGATTGATTTTAAACACACATTATGTATTTTTCAATCTAAAAAATGTCTTAGGATAACAACTTAAATAGATAAGCTTGGCCAAACAACAACCCCAGCACTAAATATGCCAAATCTAATCCCAACCACGAAAATTAAGTTCCAGTCCATTAATCCATACTCAATAATAAAACGGTTATTAAAATGTGATTGTTTCAGTCTACACTTTAAATTTATTTCCAACCCATAAATTAAACCCATTAATTAACCACACATCGTCCATAATGACTCACTGTACACTACCAGGACTACTAACATAGATCTATGCCTTCCATGAACTTATGACGTAATATAGAAGAACACGATTTTTTGTGTGAAAAATAACCAAAAACATATTCATATTAACTGTATTACTTAAGCGGTTATATTCATTTTGATTATTGTAGGTTTCATAGATTTACCGGGTTACTTTTAGTTTAAAATTTGTATCCAAATAATATTACCATTATCAATATTTTCACCTAACAGTTGAGTATTTTGATTGTAGCTTATGGATGTAATTTCGTAATTTAACATCGAATCAACTTTTAAATTTAGTAATTTGTTACTTGGTTGATGGAAACTTATTCTTTTATGCTTCTTATTAAACTTATAACTTTTAAAGTAGGGACTATGTGGTTTAAAATCCATACAACAATTAATGAGTTAACCATAATTCAGTTACAATGGTACATACCGTCTGCGGGTCGAGCAGCTACAATGTGGGCTGTAGCCAGTGCCACCACAATCACAGCGACGTTGAACATTGTAGTTATCTGGAAGACAGCGGAAGTTGTCGGATATATAAGGCACTGGACCTGCTTCCCTTGGCGTAGCTTTACCTTCAGAGTTCACCAGCTTGTTGGCCATGGTCGTTGGTAAATCACGATTTTGATACCCGAAACATAAACCGGTAAGAAATATTTGGTCGTTTGTAAAAACTGCTCTGGGTTAAACCACGTGAAATGGAATATTCCGTAAATAGTGGATTATTGGATTTAATGTTTTTGTGAAAAAGTTGTTTTGGGATTCGACGACTTTAGTGAAGAATATATTGTAAAGCGGGTCGAATACACTTGCAAGGTATTTATTTTATGTTGATTATTATAATGAAAGGCATTCTATGAACACACCACTGCATACGTAGGTAGTTCCTAGAAAACATCCCTTCAAATGTAGACAGCTTGGATACCGTTTTTTATATATATATATTTTAAAGCAAACCATAATGATTTCGTTAAGTTTGTTTACCTACGACCATTTTTTAAAGAAGTCGTTACAGTTCAGTTATAACAGCATTGTTTACTTTCATAACAACATATTTATACAGGTTTTATCCATAAAACACATGTTTACTCATAACAACAAGGGTAACGGACCAATGAGGTTCTAGTATTAAGAGCGAAGAAGAAAAATTGTAATGATTCGAACTTCGACTAATTAGCTGTTCAGGCCAATTTAATTTTTGAGTAGTGCAATTAGTGTTCGGTACAAAAATGTTTCGTTGCATCACTGTCAGTGGCAATGAGAGGTTATAAACTAATACATAACTCTTAGAAGTTATGAGTAGTGATTTTTAGTAATTAAAACACTGTCATAGGTGAAGTAGTGTATGCAACTCACGTAAATAGTGATAACGACATGAGTAGAAAATTTAAAGTACGAGCCTTATACTATACATTTGTATAAGCTAAAACGTACCTATTAATTTATATAATTAAATTTGTTATTGATTTCAATAACTTACACCATGACAGGTTAGTCTTAGTAAGAAAAGTACAGTATATCTAGAACGTAAATAATTTTACAGACCACGAATGTACAGATCAGCTAAACCGTACTGCAGTTTCTTATAAAACCCGTTGAGAATGCTTAATAGTTTCTCACCCTCCAACCTCAACAATGTGATCTATGCAAATCAGACTACCGCTAATTTCATTGTTTGGGAGTTTTTCTCAATTGTTTCACAACTATCACCAATGAATTATTTTCACTTGGAATGGAACTATTACAATCGCATTTTGTAGTAGTTGCATTGCATTGACTGTTTGGGTAGCTGAGTGGTTAAAGTTCAAGCACAGACAATATAATACTTTAATGTTTTAATGTTTTTTTTAATGGTTTATTCCATTGTCTGTGGTTCAAGTGCTCGCCTAACAAATCAAAGGTCGCCGGTTCGATCCTGGGAAGAGTCAGGAGCTTTTTGATTATTCGAAACCGGGCCCAGCTCCGTTCCTGATCATTTGGCTTTCATTAATGGTCCTGTCCTGACTAATAAATCGGCTGAACTTAGTCAGTAACAAAGCTATACAGATCATCTTTGAAACTTAGATCTGCCTTCACTCAGATTTGGGTAAAAATACGCACCCCATCTCAAAAAATAAAAAAATTATAATTTTGAATGTCAAGAAAATTTACTTTTGCTACCGAAGTGGAAATCTAATGTATTTGGACCAACATTGTTTTAATTAAAGATATATAAATGAATAGCGTATGCTAATGCTACTCCTTAATTCTTTTCTGCTAGTTTTTCATACTAGTATAGTAGATGAGACAAAAAATGCTATAGTTTCAATTAAATTAACCCGGCAGATAGACATAACTGAAAAAATATTTGTAAGAAAACTGCATTTTTCAGAAGTATATTCCGACGGTGGCTTAACTGAACCAAGATTTTGATTATTAAACTAACCCGTATATATAACTTTAACATGGGATGGTATATCTCTTCCACATTAAAAACTGTGTATAGTCATAGGTTAAATTAATAATGTATCATGTACTCTAATTATATCAAACCAAAAGCTCTGAAATTTTTTAAATTCATCAAGAGCTTAGTATTTGAAACCTACGCCGGAGTATTCCCTAGAAAGTGTATACCATTTAAACTAAATAGTGAGGGACTTTCGATATATTATTGTAACAAGAAGCCTTTCTTCAGATATTTACCGGTGATTAACTAAAACTAGAGGTCGTCCAGTGGTCGAAAACTTGACCAAAAATATGTCTCTATTTTCACCCGACGCTGTAAATACAACATGTGATAGGAATTTATTACATTTGTTTTGATTTTTTGTTTATATTTCGTTGTTATTTCGTCACCAACATGGCAACCCATAAGGCCCATGGTTAATTTTTTATTATTATTTTTTTCTTGTTTTTGAGCCTATTTTAATTTATAAAGGGATTCTGCAGATGAACAGGGAAATATCTTTCTAAAAGTATGCTTTGTGACATCATGGATCCTGCAGCATGGCCTGGATTTTTCCTGTGATACACCCGAGCTGAGAAAAATGTTTTAATGAAACATACTTGCCCCCTATTAATATATAGATTTTTAAATAGTTTGAACACTGGATGATTTATTAATGTTTATACTATTTATTTCAATCTTTCTCGTATATTGTAATTTTGGCCCGTAATATTATCATGTCAGTTTATATTGATATGTTATGACTTTTGTTCAAACATCCCGCCATCTTCTAAAATGTCCATTTCTAAATTGGCTGCTGCTGCTTGCCGTCGACATAAATAAATAATATAGATTAACAACCATAATCTATCCTATATATAATACGAGTAAAGTTTGAATAATTGTTACTTCGATCTGGGAATCGGCTCTAACAAAAACGTTTATATTTACGGAATAACTAAGTTCTGGGTCCAAAATAAGTTCTAGACCAGTGGTATAGCCAGGAAAAATCTATTTTCGCCATAATATGAGTGGAAACTTTTGAAAATTTAACATGGGCCTTATGAGAAAACATTCCGCCATTGTTGTCATTTTGTTTACATTTTAAGACATAACTTGACGTTCTGTACCCACGGGCACCTTAGCTTGCGCATGCGCAGAAGTTCTCATCCACAGTATACTAGCAAAACAAAATACAGTACAAAAGGAAAAACATAAGTTGTTACTATTAAGCAAAGATTAAACTGAACTCGATACATAGTAGTCAAGGGTAGCAGTGTGGAGTGTGGGATCTGTTTATGACGATTAGATTACGGTATCTAAAATTTTAAAATACAATGTACTGGGAGGGAAACAGGTCCGTGACGTAGGAAGTGATGAAGGAAGTAGTTAAAGGTGAGCAGTCTGGAGTGTGGGAACTGTTTACGACGATTAGATTAAGATATCTGCAATCCTAAAATGCTATGGTAAGGGAGGGAAACAGGTCCGTGACGTAGGAAATAGTGAAGGAAGTAGTCAAGGCGAGTAGTCTGGAGTGTGGGAACTGTTTATGACAATTAGATTAAGGTATCTGCAATCTTAAAATGATATGGGAAGGGAGGGAAACAGGTCCGCGACATAGGAAGTGGCGAAGAAAGTTGTGAAGGTGAGTAGTCCGGAGTGTGGGCACTGTTTATGACGATAATTTAAGATATTTACAATCTTAAAATGCTATGGGGAGGGGGAAACAAGTTCGCGACGTAGGAAGTGGTGAAGGAAGTAGTCCAGGCGAGTAGTCCGGAGTGTGGGAACTGCTTTTGAAGATTAGATTAAGGTATCTGCAATCTTAAAATGGTATGGGAAGGGAGGTAAACAGGGCCGCGACGTAGGAAGTGGTGAAGGAAGTAGTCAAATCGAGTAGTCTGGAGTGTGGGATCTATTTATGATGATTAGATTAAGGTTTCTGCAATCTTAAAATGCTATGAGAAGGGAGGGAAAAAGGTCTGCGACGTAGGAAGTGGTGAAGGAAGTAGTAAATGCGAGCAGTCCGGAGTTCGGAAACTGTTTATGACGATTGGATTAAGGTATCTGCACTCCTAAAATGTTGGGGAGCGAGCTGGCGTAGTGGTTAGAGCGCGGGACTTCAGTCCCTGAGGTCCCGGGTTCGATCCCCGCCAAGTCACCAATGGATTTATCCAAGTGATAATGCCGCAACCCCTAGGTCTAGCCTGAAGTAATGTGAAAAACAATCCCAGGCTCGTGCCTAGCGTCCTAGGAAAAAAAAACCCCCTAAAATGTTATGGAAAGGGAGGGAAACAGGTCTGCGACGTAGGAAGTGGTGAAGGAAGTAGTAAAGGCGAGCAGTCCGGAGTGCGGCAACAGTTTATGACGATTGGATTAATGTATCTGCAATCTTAAAATGCTATGTGAAGGGAAGGAAACAGACCCTCGACGTAGGAAGTGGTGAACGAAGTAGTAAAGGCGAGCAGTGTGGAGTTTGGGAATGGGAATGGATTAATGTATCTGCAATAGGACTGCTTTCATATTAAACTAATGATTTTACCTGAGCAAAGCTTGGTCCCCAGGTACTACTTATTTAATACGTAAGCAGTGTCATTGGAAAGAGCGTAACGTGAAGTTGTGCAGGAAACTTTCTTTTTAGGGAAATAATTAGAGAGTGAGGCCCTGGGGCCCTTTAAAGTTTCGTATTTCTCCATAAGATTAACATGGGAAACAAAAATTGTTTTGAAACTCCAGCTGTTGTCAGAAATTAAATACTGATAATTTTGGTCTCCATGGAAGCATCGGTGGGGCACACGGGAGGGACTAAGGCTAACATATCTTGTAGTGTCAGCGTTCGCCGCTAGGACTGCTAAGTTGAAAAAAATTTAAATTAATTTTTAATTTTTTGTTATAAAATTAACTTTTTAATTATAAAATATTGTTTTAAAATTATAAAATAAATTTTTAATTTTTAAAATTAAACTGTCATAACATAACCTAACCAACCAGACTTGCTGATAATATAAAAACTATATAAGATAAAAATCTAATTAATGATTACTTATAATTTTTAATTAATTTTAAAATTTAGTATTATAAAATTAAACTGTCATAACCTAACCTAACCAACCAAACTTGCTGATATGAAAAATTTGTTGACAAAAAGTTAGTGCTGCAGGCGGGTTTCGAACCCCGGACCTCCTGAACACCAACCCGACACGCTACCAACTACGCCACGAACGCCGCTGAAATCACATCGTTTCGTTACGGTAATCGTGTCGCCTCAAGAGAAGAGATTAACCACTAGAGATATGACGTCACTACACCTTTAGCCTTAGTCCCTTCCGTGTGCCCATTCCATGGACGGTTGAGAAAATTCACAATGTTTACTTTTGCTTTGACATTTAAATGTAAACAACCAGAACTGTCAAATGCCTATTAAATTAGCCTATTTCACAATTTTAGACAGCTGATAAAAAAACAACTATGTGGTAGGTTTATTTAATCTTGAACTATATGATAGATTATTATAAATCTATTTCAATAATTATGAAAAAAATTTTTCCCGTTGCGAAGCAAAAATTAATAGTGAGAAGAAAAAGATATGTTGTAAACAGTCGTGTAAATTATCGAAGTTGTATTAAAAATGTGTATAGTTTTGGATGTTGGTTTGTGTTTAATGATATAAGTTAGTTATTAAATCTTTATTTTAAGTTTTAAGGATTTGGCATATGACTAAGCCTATGATAAATAACACCATTTCAGATTTCTGCCAGTTATTGCCTAACTCTGTCCTGTAGTAGCCTACACCTTATTGTCTACAAATTGGCTAGATAACTTTAGGTACGGTACTTAATAAAAGCTGACAGCCTTTTTACGTTGACCATAAATTGTAAGCTTACATTTTCCCGTTCATGGGCAGTTTGATTGTTAAAAATTCACCCTTTAAAATGGAAAAGGACTGTTATGTAAATTGTAAGTATTTCCATTGGTTGATAATCTTTTAGTTGGCTCTTTTGCTCTTTTAAAATCATTGGAAATTATGACTGTTATAAGTTTTCAACCAAGTAATTCGTTTGTAAATAACTACTGTACTTCTTTGCAATTGCTCGATTTCGAGCAACATGTACACTAGTAACCTAAAATCCAAGATTAAGTTTAAGACTTTGGAGTTAGAGGTTATCTAGATTTGTTTGACCTTGTTAGGAGGTATGGTGAACTTGAAGACAGACCATTGTATTGTATTGATCAGGTGAGTTGCAAGACACAGAAATGCCGGGAGATTAGAAGCCTCATATCGGCCGCAGCAGCCACTAAACACACCACATCACATGTGGGGAGGAAAGCAGACATAGTCGGGGCTGAATGGCCAACGGATAAACCTACTCGGGATAGTCATCAAACATATGGGGTATCCTTCAAATATATACAACCATAGACTAACCGGGAGTATATTTTATCTATGATACAACAAAGTAAAGGTTTATGTTTGCTGTTTGTGATCTTAGGTTATCAGAAGATTATCGTACTAAAGTTTCAGCCTTGTACGAGTCCATAAAAGATGGACAGCTGCATACTATATTGGAAAAATGTAAACGTATTAAAAGAAGTTCACGAGTTCAGTTCACTTTCTATTAAAAAGACAAACAGGCAAATAGAAAAGTGAAAATAAACGAACATTTAATAACAAATTGTATCGTAATTATTTATGTTATTGTTGTTTAGAAGCAAATTTATGGTTGTGCATTAATTGTGCCAAACCAAGCCCTCGATCAAAGGGTCCCCAAAAATGTTCCTTAGTTACACCGACCATTGAATACATAACACTCTGTGTTATATATTCAATGGTTACACCAAGCCCAAGCCAGGTAGGGATGAGTTGCCGGTAGAAGGAATGTCCTTGTCTAAGTGTCATTCTAACCTATCCTAACCTAACCAACCTAACCTACTCAATTATACAGTCAAAGAGAGTTTATTCAAAGAGAGTGCACTTCGTGCAGTTAATGAATGTATCGGGCGGCTCCCAGGAGTAGTTGGCGCAAATAATGCCCACCCAATTTTACAGTTTGTCAAGAATTTATTTTTGTTTGTTAATTTATTTTGTTGTTAAATACTTTAATTCTATTTTTTAACAGGTAATATTTGACCAACAATGAAAAAAGTGGTGTGTCTGTGATATGAAGGTGTAAACTGAAAACGCAATGTCAACGTAATTACAAACCAATGTGTGTAAAAGTATTATCATAATCCCTCAAAAATGATACATAATAAATGACTTTTGCAAAATCAAATATATTCAAGTAAAAAGGTGCAGGTTTATAAGAAATAAATTACAAAAGTTAAAAACAGAAACTTAACAAGCTATATTTAATTGTACAGGTAACGATTTAAAAGAAGATCCTCAATGGAGGTGACACAAGGTTGAAGAACTAGAAATGAAGAAAATGGCAAACAATGCCCAAGGGTACTGGATGTAAGAGGTACGTAGAATCCAGAAAGAACAGAATGAAGAGGATAAAGTCCTACAACAGTCTCAGTGGACACAACACCCTCTGAAACGTCACGAAAAGAAAAGACGAAGAGGAAAGAGAAAGGAAGTAGCAGTGAAATGAGATTCGCTAAAGCTTATGAAGGATTACGGCGTAGATAGTAGTAGGTCCGTGGAAGGATCAGAGGTGACGTCACGGGAGGGCTTGAGTCTCAAGAGATCAGGGTCAATCTCTGTTTGTGCCTTGCATGAGGGTGATGAGATGTGGTACGGGGCGAAGCCTCCCCACTCCATACCCAGGAACAATCCGGTAGAGGGCCCTGGGCTGAAGGATCCTGCAACAGCATAAAATGATGAGAAACTTAAATCACTCATTATGGCTCCTAAGCATGAAAGAGTGATTACGACTGAAGGTATTTCTATATTTCTAACATGCACACCTTTCAATAAAATGGTTGTTGGAACTTAGCTAATACAAGGCACACAACTTTTAATAAAGTACCCAAATATTTCAATGTTTCAGGTTTCTCGATTTTAGTTTAGAAAATATAGGCTTGAATTAGCTTCTTACCCATTTGTGACGTCGAGTCTGCCAGGAGACTTGGACTTGAGCAAACTGCAACAAGCAATACTCTTTTTTAATGTGATACTTGAAAGGGAGTGTAGAATTTAAATTTTGTGAACTTATGAGAACGTTATACAATGGTTATACCAAAGATTACATATGCTCACAAACAACAATTAATTGCGCCTTGTTTTGTTTTAATTTTAACCAACAATCTTGTTGAGGTATATTACAGATGTGTATTTGCTTAATTTACAGATGGTCAAGCTCTCACGTTGTAAAGTAATTTTATGTTTATGTATTTTCCAGGGCAAAGGAATCAGAGAAAATGTTCTCCCTCACTATGTTTGAAAGGGGAAATGTTACCAACTGGCCTTTAACAGTGGAATCTTAGTATTTGGGAGACAGAATTGGCAAAACAGCCATTTCCCAAAAAAATATTAGAGCCACTTCAACTTTGGACGTCTACCTTGCAGTTCAAAAGAGCCTTTGACTTTGACTTGTTAACGATTATTGTTGTATCCATCTTTTGTGATGATTGTATCAAAATCTACTTTTACATAGACCCAATTCGTTTCTTTGATCTATCAAGCAAATCATCTTACCTGGTACAGTGATGATAGGAAGAGGCTGATGTTGCGACACTACTGCATTCTGGTGGTGGGAGGACACAACATTCAGCTGTTGTTTGGCCATCAACTTCTCCTGTTTCCTCCATTTGGCTCGGCGATTCTGGAACCACACCTAGAACAAAGATAGTACTGCATGTTAGCCTCACGCTTATGCAGATGCTCGGATAAAGAACGGATAGTATGGGTGGGGATTTCTTAAGAGATTGGTCACCTCTTTTAGCGAATTTCCCATATAGGGAATAAGCTATTACCGTAGTACTCATGGTAAGACCTGGACGCGGGACCGATTTTTTTTTCGTTTTGAGGTCCCTAGAGGCCAAAAACACCATCCGTTCAAATTCATATATATATATATATATATATTTATATATTTATATGTTTATATATATATATATTTATATATTTATATGTTTATATATTTATATATTTATATATTTAAATGTTTATATATTTATATATATATATATGTGTCCGTTAGCACGATAACTCGAGCAAAAATGATCCGATTTTGATGAAATTTGGTACAAACGTGTAAACCTACGTTCATTCGAACGAGTTCACGATCAAGCTTGATCGGACCATGGGAACGGGGGTTTACGGGGGGTTTTATGGGGTAAAAATAAGTTTTCCCATTTTTGACCCAAAAAACATAAAATTTAGCAATTTCTTTCCAAACCACTTTGTAGAGCTTAAAAAAACAAATAATTTAGTATATTGAAGCGTTATTATGCGCCTAATGGTTACGGAGAAAATTCCAAAAAATTGTAAATTTAAAATTCCCATGTTATTCTTATGGAGAATAAGTAAACTGTTGTAGTTTGCTTTTTTATGAACATATTTTGATCAAATTTGGGAAATGTTTTTATTTCTTACTAACTATTAACATTAAAAAAAACAAAAAAAAAACAGTTTTACCCTCCCTGATGCAGCAAACCTAAGTATATGTTAAACTAATTACCTATATTTAAATAGGGAATTAATGCTATATTTTTAAGTAGACATTTCAGTGTAAATCCAATCAGTCAAATGGAAATGCGCTTAGTCTGCAGGTTTGCTGCGGCGGGGGTATTTTTTAATTAGGCCTCCAAGCCTGTAAGTGAGACGTATCTAGCAAAGCAACATCTATGCAGGATCAGAAGGGACGTAGATTATTCGTTTAGTGTTCTCATGCTTTATGGGTAAAACTATCAATGGTTTTCTAATTTCAAAACAAATATACAAAACAAAAAGAAAAGTCTTTTCATTAAAACCTTGATCATATTAATATAATCTAAATTCGAGTTCTCGTACTTTATGCATCTAACAAATGTTTATAATTTTTTTGTACTAAAAAAGCAAAATAAGGAAAATCCATTAATTCATCTATTTTTTAAATATGGTTGTAATCTCTATGAGCCAGATCTAGCCAAGTGTTTGGTTTGGGTAGGAAACAATTAATTGCACTCTGAGAGTTTTCAACTTTCAAAATTCTATCTTCTCTATCATAGTTTTCAATACTTCGATAACTGATGAGACAAAACCAGGGATGATTGTTTACAGTTTTCTCTTCAGTTTGGCTTGGTCCAAATTATGTATAAACGCAATCAGCAATTTGCAGCAGCACATTCCGCTCCAGTGTCTCAATACGAACCATTTTATACTTCCTTTTCTACTTTTCGTTCTAAAATTTGGTATAATTTAACACGAGAATGAAATTCAATACCCTCCACAAAGAAAGATCTTGATTTGATGCTAGTACCTGAACCCTCGCCTCTGTTAAGTCTATCCTCAACGCAAGCTCTTCTCTGAAGAACACATCTGGGTAGTGCGTCTTGTGGAACGCCCTCTCTAGCTCCTCCAACTGGAAGTTGCTGAAGGTAGTCCTGGAATTTGAAACTGGTCTCAGGAGATGTCAGAGGTTAAACGACCATAATAAATTCTTTCGATCTTTTTTTATTTCCGGATCTGGGTTTTGGCCCTTTCAGAACTACTACAACCAAAAAAATACTTTTTCGATCTGATTTTGTTCTATGATATTATTACTAAAGAGTTGAACGCTGATATATTCGCCACAAAACAGAAGAGAAACGTTTAGTCAATATTGGCATACTGAAGCAGAATCGGATGTAAAAAACATAAAAGTATGCTTCAAAGTTTGCAGTACCCTCGATTTTTCCTCTCGTATGAGGATAAAACATCTCTGTTATCCTTCTTTAAACTGTTTCATCTTTCGACCGATAAAAAATTAATTTAAGTCAAACTCCAGAGAATACTGTATCTATAAGTATAAAAGAGGATGTTTGTATATATATATTTGGCAGTGATAAACTCAGACACCGCTGAACCGATTGCCACGAAACTTGGTACATACGTGTAGAATTTCATGGAATAGGTTTATACACCATCAATTTCGTGATCCGTCCAATCGGCTCCGCCCCAGTGGCTCTGGAGTTTCCCATGTTAACCTTATGAGAAATGGAATTAATGAATCTTAACAGCTGTTTCAATTAAACAAGTTGGTTCTGTTCTATGATGTTCAATAGCATTAAAGTTACAAGGATTACCAACAGGGTGCAGCACTATTATTTCTTTTACATTTATGACAACAGCTAATTTGCAACTAAAAGGTGAGTGAGCATAGCGAACGAACTTCAACCTGGAGGCGAGTTAGCGTAGTGAACGAGCTAAACTGAAGGCAAGTGAGCGTAGCGAACGAGCTAACCCGAAGGCAAGTGAGCGCAGCGAACGAGCTCCAACCTAAAGGTGAGTGAGCGTAGCGAACAAACTTCAACCAGGACGTGATTGAGCCATGCGAACGAGATCATCTTGAAAATTAAGAAGTTAAACGGGGCAAAGCCCGCGGGTTACGGCTAATACTGTATATAAGTATTCTACATTAATCTCATTAATGTGACATGTTGGCAGACCTGTATCTCCTCTGTTTCCGCTTCCCAGAACCCTGTGCGGCGGCGGTGGCTGCGGCGTAGGTCGGCGGAGGGGACGGTGTGAGAGCGGGTTGTTCCTGAGGTACTTCCTCATAACCTATGGAACATCCAGCATAAACATAGTACATTCAACAAAAAAATGCCGGCAGATGGTTTGTAATGACGGACAACATAATTAATTTGCTATCACTGTTTTAAATTTACCAAGTTTGGGTTGGTTAGTAAGTGTTACAGTGACAATAAGGTTATCCTATAATCACGCAGTAACTCATAATCATATAATATTGCCCAGCACCAAATCATGATTAATTCACGAAGCTGTAAAAGTAAAATACATTCTTTGTCACCAAATCGTACAGCATCAAATTGCTTCTAGAGTAATTTTTGACATTTCAAAGAAGAATTTGGTGCTATGAGACCTCTTTTTCGTGAAACATCACTAAGTTAATAGAGTAACCAAAACAACCCGAGTTCTGAATCCTGATCCACGAGACCAGCCAAGCCTTGAGTTCGTGATAGAACGTTTTGCCGAGCCGACATGTTGGCAGTTTCCTCGCATAATGTGTTGGTTACGAGTTTAGCATAACTTGGACCAGCTCCATCAACATCGATAGCCCGATGCAGAATTATGTTTAATACTTTCTCCCCCTATACCATAGTATATGGAGAAAGAATTGTTTTTGTCAAAATTTTCGAGTTTGAGTTTTAAGTGCATATATCCATTTTGGGTCACCCTGAAAGCCAAAAAAGTGGTTTTCGAAGTGATGTCTGTGTGCGTGTGTTTGTCTGGGCGTGTGGATGTGTACAGAGCTACAAACCACACCTGTAGTCCGATTTGGATGACATTTGGTATGTAGGTCAATCCATGGTATCTCTCGGTGTTTTTCATTTTTTGAAATTTTGATTTTTAATGGGGATTTTCCCATAAAATAACTAAAAATTAGATTTTCTCAAAAATGGTCCTAACGATTTTGAGAAAATCTTATTTTTCAGTTATTTTATTCTGAACAAAATGGTACGAATCACATTTCTGTAAAAAAATACGGTTCAAAAGGTAGTGTAACTTTTGTTATTTTACCACACAAAATGACATATAATTACTAAAATATGATTTTATAAAAAAACCCGGTTTTGATTAAAATTAATGCGTTATGGTCCTTATAATTCGAAACAAAATAATTCAACCCCCATTACTGTAACAACTACGGTTCAAAAGTTATTGCAACTTTTGTAATTTTTTCCTACATGAGATTTTTTTAAGGTCATTTTATCCTATAAAGGTTGTTGGCAAGCTTATGGGGGAAAGTATGTGTCAGATTGCTGATACCGTTTATTATCTACGTGTTAATAAAACTTAACTATGTAATGTAGGAAGTGGACATAGGCCAAATATTTAGCTTATCAATACAGCCACAGCCTGGGGTAAACAAAATAGTATTTTGCACATACACGTTTAGAGTATTGACAACTCAAGTACTTCTATCTTTTGTCTATCTACTTACTATAATGGTTTACTCTGCAACATCCTTTCTACATCCATCCTACGTGACAGATTTTTAAGATTACGCTGCTAATTTTAGTGGTAATTAATTTTGTAACCCGGGTTGAGTTAGGTACAAGCAACTAATATAATTTATTGTAAATTGGTAGTTTAATTCAACTAAAAACTATCTTAAACAAACATCATATTTGGAAGGTTAAAGGGGTATTGAATTTTAAATTTGCATCGGAAAAAAGTTTTGAACCCTAAACAACAATAATTACTGACTTCTTAAAAAAATACAACCTGAATACTTTTACAAAACTTAAACAGTGTTGCCACACTACAGTGTCTGTATTAGTCAGTGTTGCCAACGCACGCGCGTGTCTAGCGCTCCCCTTCTATTATTATTAGCTTAGATGTCTTTATTAGGTTGGCCTAACTAAGTTTATAATGTGGGGCGATAATTCATTTAGAGTAACTCGATTGAGAATATTTCAGCTGCTAATCGTTCAGTCGGTATCCTGATACGTCCGGTGTGGTCTCGTGGTTTTGCCGGTATCTATTGTTGTTGTTGTTGTTGTTGTTGTTGTTGTTGTTGTTGTCGTCGTCGTCGTCAGCGATGTTGTTGTTGTGTGCGTTTTGTTTGCATACGTCTTTGAAAACTGCGTTGCAAAGGGAGTTGATGTGAGTACCTTGTTATATCATTTTCGTCAGTGTTGTTGGTTTTGAACTGATTTTTGATGGCTGATAGTTTTTTTATCACTTAAAAGAATATTTTAGATGGATTTAAATACACTTAGGTTTTGTGGTTTCCATTTCATTAACAGACTGACAAATACTTTAACTCAGTAACCACCCTTCACCATTTTGAAGAAACGGTCATTTTGTCGATTTGTTTGTTCCGTTTTATTGATTTTTACATAAATATTTGAAACCGTTGTAAGTGTTGATTCAAGTATTGGTTGATAGTCGATCAATATGGTTTTTTGAGTAGGTTCATTCACTTATGATAAGAAATAAGATAAAATAAGAAATAATAATATGTGATATGTCGGCATGGTTGGGTCATGGCAATTTTTTTCTCTGAGTGTTAAAAGGTCGTTCACCGCCAAAGAGCATTTAAGGCCATGAAAGTTAAGAAAGTAAAATTTTAGGAGTTTCGATTTTTAACAGGCTGGCTAATCTTAAACCTGTCCTTGGTGAGCCTTAAATGAATTATGTAGTTTTACCTAGAGAAACAGATTATTTAGTGTGAAATAAATCTCCACAATGCATTCACCCCGTCTATCGGTCATCTTTAATTTAAATTTAGGTTTAAACAAGATGGACTGGTCCCCATTTAAAATATAACACTTATTTTTAAACTAGTTTTGGTGAACACACACTTAGGATACAGTTCCTGGTTTTGAGTTGCAGCTTACAAAGTAACAACTAAACCCATAAATTTCTACCATGTATTTTATGTGGGACATCTTTCATTAAGTTCTACAACTGACGGGTGAACTCCGTAAGTTGCACACAAGAACTGATAAGAGAATGTTTTTTTGCTATCCCAATTTCAAGAACTGGAATTATAATAGATTATCTTTGTTGCCTGAGTTCTTGTAGGTAAAATGTTTGAGGTAATTCATGTGACAACAAAGATAAATCTAAAATGATACGAGAAGGGATCAAAGTCACTGAATCTGCAAATACTGTGTCTTAATTGGTCAAAAGACAATAACTTTTTCTACTTATCAGACCTAACGGTGAACCACAATACAATAACATAACGACACTAGTCAAAACGTATAGAACCAGCATTGTTCCAAGTAAGGCTAGATTTCTCGATGGAATTCTTTTACTAGGAATTACTTCTTGATACCTGGACCTACTAAAAACAAAGTAATGGGGAAAATTTATAAAAATACACCACTTTGTCAAACTTCTTAAGTGTGGATTTATTTTTGCCAACTTATTCTCCAATATAAGCTATATAATTAATAACTTCAGTGTAGCCTACTTACTTGTTTGAGAACTGTTTATTAGAAATAGCGACAGTAATGTTATAAAAATAAATGTAATCTTGTAAAGAATACGTGAAGGCCTATTCTCGTAAAAAATAAATTTATTCTTGTCGAGTTTAGCCTCTGTATATAGCATAACAAGAGTTTAAATTAAAATTACATCTGTTTTACCTATAATCAATATTATATACGACGAATAGTCTAGTTCATTATTTATTTTGCAATTTATGACAGTAATAATTTCACCGTGCATTTTACTGGAAGATTTTTTTTCTTATCAAACATACTGCATACGAATTCCATTTACTTTTGAGTATTTGGAAGCTTACTATGTCAAAGCTTCGATTTGCAATTACCGTAACATAATTGAAATTAAAGAATCCCCCAATGTGTGAAAATCTTAACAACATATTTGATTAACATGTTTATTCGTAAAATTAAGAACCGTACTCACGTGATACGTAGACCAAATGGCGTTGAAGTGATAAGTTATTTAAACAATAAGTAATGTAATAAAATGAATTATTATCAAACAAGTAACAAAACCTCAGAATAATAGTAGGCCTATGTTGTTAAGTTAAAGATATCATAAAATAAATAAATAATAGTAATAAAATAAGTAAATAGCAAAAATTAAATACAATATTTAATAAAATCATGAATATAACGTAAGAATAATTGATTTATTATTCACATAAAAATTTTTAATTGTAAAATATGGTATTTAAATTTGCATTGTTTCGTTTAATATCAATCCGTCATAATTATTTTGACGAGCTATCCATCGACACATTGGACATGGTGATCTATGTCACGATAGCAATGATAGCTTCAAAACAATCTCCACAAAACTCATATTTGCTTATTAAATGTATAGATTTCCCTTTTCAATCTATACCTAGTAATCAGTTTTAATTCTACATAAACATTTAGATTTTTCGTCGACAAAAACAAAAAATACGCAATTAATCGAGAAATTAAAATCCACTCATAATTGTATATTAACCACTAGTGCATTAATGATTTTTTCAGCGGTTTCATAAAATTAATTATCATCTCATCAAATTAAACAAACCCAGGTCAGAATTATTTTACCGCTCTTTTAAATTTGTAGTAACATATTGGGTCTAATCAATGGTCTGAATCATTCAACTAAATAATTAAATACTTCAATTTGTATCACATAAAGACTCAAAAAATAAAAAAATAATAGTAGTACACGTGTTTATGGTTCAATTAAAAACATTATACACGTATTATAATCATCAATATTTTCCGCCTTTCCAATAAAACATTTTATCATTTCTTCAACAAATCCTAGGCTATTTAAATAATTTTATGAATTTAAACACATATAATAATTTATTTTTAAAAACTCTGCCCTTGTTTCACAGCTGTGAGGACTTACTAAACTTCTGCGGCACTGACGACTGATGGGCGAAGGGGCTGATCATGGATGGCAGCCCGGACACCAAGGGGTCCCCATGACTCCCCGAGCCGCCCAGTAGACCCTGGATGGAGTACCCGGGCTGGCGGAGCCCCTCCATGTCCATGTACGGCTTGAGGTCCATGGTGGCGCCCACTGACAATCGTCGAGACACCGAGGAGACTGCGCCGCGGCGAAGCCCCACAACATCCCCGTGGGCTTACAACAATTGATTTTTATTACATGACTGTTGTCATCTTTTATTTCCCTCCTTTTTCGATTCCAAGGGCGCTTTGGCGCGAATAAAAGGTTCAGATTTGATTACCACACTACCATTGTTAACGCGAAAAGTTTAAAAAAATATGTTATTGTGGGAAACTTTAAAGGGTTTAATTAAAATAAAATCACTTAGACTTTAATATGGTGTTTTAAAAAAGTGTAAAAAAATAAATAAAAACGTTTTTAGATTGAAGTTTTTTACTTTAGTGTTTATACGCTAATGGCACATGTTTTGAGAGGGGTCGGTTACAATCCTTAATTTTAATTTAAGTTAAAATTACTAGGAAGTTACTTTTTTCCTTAAAATAAACACATATTAATTTTTTATGAATATATAATTAATTTGTAAAATTTAAAGGTTCTTGAGCTCTAGATTCAACAATTTCATTGCGGTCCTGTCGGCCATACACGCTCTTTGTAATACATTATGTAGCTACTGTACTTGTTACTACCACCTAAACCTAACTAAATTACATCGATTCATGTACATGAATGTTAAATAATGTTAGATTTTGTTTCAAGGTTAACACTTTTTTCATTATAAAATATGCTGTGTCTCTTGCAGATATAAATATAAGTCTGAATATCATGGCTTGCTTGTAAGATAAAACACAGTAATTACTTTTCCGTGGATAAAAGCTGTCAAACAACTAATATAAAGTAAAAATACCCTCGCCACAGCAAACCTGCAGATTAAGAGAATTTCTATTTATCACGCTGGATTTCTACTACGTTATTCCCTTAAATGTGCCAGATTTATTTCATATTGAAATAAAATTCTTTTAATGAGTTTTTTGTTCGTGCACTAAACAATAGGAAAAAAAATAATTAAATATAGACCGTCAGCTGTGCTGCAGTTACCATAGGTTCAGGTGCACAGCGCTGGGAGCGCCATGTAGTTTCGGCATACGCGCTACGTAACTACACGGCGCTCCCAGAGGTGTGCGCCAGAACCTAGTAACCATAGTGACCTCAGCACGGCTGATAGTTATTTAATTCTTTTCGTCTTAAGAATATGGACGCCATCTACTTTTGAGTGTAGGTGGATATGTAATTCTTTGTTTATAACTATTTTCGCCCTGTTTCTCGGTATTTAGAATTTCAACACAAGACTGACAATGACTTTATTAAACAGGAAAACATACATTCCTTTCATATATTGTCATGCATTGTTTTTTATTTAACTGCATCCATGTAAATAACAATTGTTGCGTGAATCGAAATTAGTGGTAAAAATGGTAAAAATAATTAAATGTGGTTCAGTTTTTTGTAAAGAAAGTTCTTCATCCAGCTCTCCTTGATCATGAAATTACGAACTTAATAAATAATGGTCTTGGCTAAAAGTTGCATAATTTTCCTGAGAGACATATTCTTATTTGTTTCTTGTTATTACATACAACTATACAGCTGGACTCCCAACTATCGAGTCTCATCATAATCGCGTAGCAAAATACTCTAGGAGGGATTGTAATCCGATATCTAGCTCAAAATAAAAGATAGGTCTCTGAGGAGGAGTAGGTAGGTACTATCTTCTCATTGGAGTATCCTACTCAGCCATGCCATATTTTAATCGTATACGGAGTCTCTTTACTAAATTTTTAAGGTGGAACTATTCACAATTGAGGACAAATAAGGATACAGGCTAGAGGAGAAAGTGTTTTGAGGTAGGTGACCAATGACCTTGAATGAGTCATCGCGACACAGGGGTCATTGGCCCTGGACGACGACGACTCTGTGACAGAACTGGTTCTGGGCGTGAAGTGCTAAATATAAACGTACAGGATGATAGTACGTTTCCCACTACCATTGACCAAAACTGTTGTAAATGCTTTATCCATTGTAGGGGACGGGGAGTTTGCATTTTTCAAAGCTCTTTTGAAGACATATTCAACTCTGTGGTTAGACGCAAGTTTTACAACTTAAGAACGTGGAATCTGATCATTGCGCCAATCCCTCAAAGGGTCCAAACAATTTTTCTTAGTTGCGCCAAGCCCAAGCCATAGACAGGGGTGAGTTGCCTGCAGAAGGAATGTACTCCTAACCTATCTTAACCAAATATAACCTAACTAAACCTAACCTAACCTATCCAACCTAACTTATACCATTGACTATATATACCTACAGTAGGTATATATAGTCAATGCTTATACTAAATTATACAGTCAAAGAGGGCCGCCACTTGGCGCAGTTAATGAATCTATCGGGTGGCTTCCTGGAGTAGTTGGTGCAATTCAGGAATCCAACTGACCTGAGTCAGACGGATATTTGGAATACCCAACTACTTGACTCAGGTCAGTTGGCGCAATTAATACCCGCCGAATCTTGTCCAGTGGGTGGTGGATGCACCTAGAACACGACAACATTAGTACTGTATACAAAACTATATTCTTGAATCTTTTTGAATAGGCCCTTTGCATTCAAAGGAAAAGGTACTTAGGGTTTAATTAGGAATACATGAATTATTTCTAGAACAGTTATTACCATTTATCACAACTCATTTGTGGAATTTTCCAAATGAGAAAAATACTAGTAGGTATGGGCTATTGTTTTTTTACCGCCGTAACAGTTTTGATACGGCGGCAGGTTTGCTAAAACCACCCTTGAATCATCAGGTCTACTCCGTAGGCAAGTGGAAGCAGAATGCTTTGTAGTGTAGCAGATTTATCTGGAAAGAACAAACAATGGTGAGTTTGTCTAAACGACTGAGAATGATGTAAGAGCGTCTCATAAACACCCATTGTTAATGTTGGATACGGAGCGTAGCGGTGCTTGCAAGATGAAGAACTGAAGAAGAAGAAGTAGGCCTACCGCGTCTTCCTTCCACTATGGGGCGTTCCGCGTTCTTTCTGGGTTGTTGTAGGTCAAGAAAACACGTTTGATGAATTTACTTATATATATATATATATATATATATATATATATATATATATATATATATATAGTAATTTAAATTAAATATATAGCACACTCAAGCTTAAACGTACCTTTTCAACGGAGTATGAGTCTAATGTATGCGGATATTCAATCTGCAAAAACTGCTACATTGGTGTTATATAACCATAGATTAAACGTTAATCTATGTTATAACCAAGATACACTTGAAACATCGTTGACAACCGAGCTCATGTTTATTTATTTATTTAGAGACGGAAAATTCCATTTTCATATACATACAATGATGGCAAGACGTTACATTCAGACTTACATAATTAATGTCATACATAACATGAAGATGACCAGACTAAAAACCCCTAATAAATAAGAATGTATCAAAAATACATCAATATATAACAATAAATAACAACAATAATTAACAATCAACATGGGGAACAACAAATTTGGTAATTAGCTAACAAAGATAAAGAATAAAATACCCCCGCCGCAGCAAACCTGCAGACTAAGCGAATTTCAACTTGTCTGATTACATATTTATTTACTAAAATATTTCCATAAATAAGACATATTTTATTCCCAATTTAAAGAACATTAGATTTAACGAGTGCTTAGGTTTGCTGCTACGGGGAAGGTAATCAGTTTTTTTGACCAAACGTCAATAGTATAGGAAGAAATAAATAAATTTGCCAAATTTTATCAAAATATATCCATAAACAAGTAAACTACAACAGTTTTCATTTTCTCCATAAGAATAACATGGGAATTTTAAATTTGCACTTTTTGAATTTTCTCCGTAACCATTAGGCATACAACAATGCTTCAATATACTAAATTATTTATTTTTTTAAGCTCTACAAAATGGTTGGGAAAGAAATTCCAAAATTTTATGTTTTTATGGTAAAAAATGGGGAAAACCCATTTTTACCCCATAAACCCCCGTTCCCATGGTCCGGTCATGCTGGTTCGCGAACTCGTTCAAATAAATGTAGGTTTACACGTTTATACCAAATTTCATCAAAATCGGATGATTTTTGTTTGAGTTATCGTGCTAACGGACACACATATATATATATGAATTTGAACGGATGGTGTTTTTGGCCTCTGGGGACCTCAAAACGAAAAAGTAAATTGGTCCCGGGTCCAGGTCTTACCATGAGACCTACGGTAATAGCTTATTCCCTATATGGGAAATTCGCTAAAAACAAGTAACAGTAAAATAAATCACTTAAACAACAACTACAATGATAAAGAAACAAAAAGCAAGTAACAGTACTAGGTGGCGTTCGCAGAGGCATCCACACAATTGAGCGGAGTCATCAAGGGTTTATATTATATTGTTTTTTGTCATACTGCAGTAAAAACAGTCGTTTTTAATGCATGCGTTGCGGGTCTAAAGAAGCATTTTTACTCTTTAGGAAGTAAAAATCGTTTTTAGCCTCTATGGAGTAAAAAATCAGCTGTTGTCAAGAGTCAACTCAGTTGTAAATTTCAATTGTAAACTATTGCATGTATCAAAAATATCACGAATACTAGAAAATACTCTCTTCTAGTATTCGTGAAAAATAGGTATCGATTTGTGCTTCGTAATAATTTTAACCTACAGTCTAGAGTCTCTTCCCATAGCATTCTAGCATTGCAGATACATTAATCCATTCCCACACTCAACACTGCTCACCTTTACTACTTCCTTCACCACCCCTACGTCGTGGACCTGTCTCCCTCTCTTCCCATATCATTTTAGGATTGCAGATACATTACTGTAATTGCCAAAGACAGTTCCCACACTCTGCACTGCTAGCCTTTACTACTGTACTTCCTTCACCACTTCCTACTGTACGTCGTGGGTCCTGTTTCCTACCCTTCTCATAGCATTTTAGGATTGAACACACATTACTCTAACTGCCACAGACGGTTCTCACACTATGCTCATATTTTACTACTTCCTAAGCCACTTCCTACGTCGTGGACCTGTTTTCATCACTTTCCATAGCATTTTAGTGTTTTAGATACGTTAATCTAATTGCCACAAACATTGCCCACACTCCGCACTGCTAGCCTTTACTACTTCTTT